GATGTCCTCTTGTTTCTACTTCCTCATTTGCCATTTATTCACTTTCCCAGCTCCCACTTGAATCTGAGCTCCCCAGGGCATAGATCATCTTACTGTCCTTACACAACATCCAGCATATAGTGCTGGGTCATGCTCAGGACTTTTATTTCTGTTAATGTAGCATCCAAACCTCTCCCCCAAATTATGAACAAAGACCTGCCAAAAAAATTAGCACATCGCTGCAACTTCTTTCAAATAAATGGAATTTTTCTTGTTGGTGTCAGAGCATCAGTAGCATTGATGCTTCAATAAAACCGATCCAGTTATTTTGACAGCACAGATAAACACTAAAGAAAAAAACAACAAAACATCAGCCTCCACAAATATTCTGAATGAAATAATAAATGCTAAAACTAAGCTTAGGAAAGCAATCCTGCACCACAATTTGTTTTCAAGCATCAATTCTCACAGTTTTAAGACGTTTCCCCAGTAAATAAAATCACCTTCATTCCTTTTCTTTAATTCCCAGTTTTAACAACTCTAATATTTAAAAATATTGCACTAAGTAAAAATATCATTAAAAAGTACTCCTGTTAAAAACAAGTTATTTCAAGCTTACATCAGAGCTACCTTCATGTCTTTACATGCATTTTGCAATGCTCTTTACACAGTTCAGACTCCAAAGTTTATCCTGGGAAAAAGAATTTTTAAGCGTGAACAAAACAGACGAGGCAGAAGGAACGCTACCTTTTCTCTTCCATTTTAGGTATCCTCATGAAATGAGAGGTGATTTTGGAGTCTTTCTTCACTCCTGGTTTTGCACCTTTGCTTTCCACTGATGGAGCAGGAGAGATCCCGGGTGGTTTTATATGCAGACCATCATCCTTGACAGAATTATCTATTCCCTCGAAGTCTTCACAACTCTTAGTAGAAAACCGTGATTTCCTTGACTCCAGTTCAGAATCCCCATATTGAATTCTGAAAGATTTGTTTATAGATTTGGCCATATGATTCTCCTCTCGCTCATCGAGAAGTGGACTCGTTTCCTCATCAGCCTCCGAGCCATGACAGCTGTTTTTGGAATTGTCCACATCCATGGGTGATTCTGGTTCGCTTTCTTTCTCGAAAGCAGGTGAATCCCCTGAACTACTTCGACATTTGCTCAATTTCTCAGGACCTCCAACACGGGATACGCAAGCATCGCAACCAGTATCTGAAAGTGGGCTTTCCGGAACTACATCCCCTTCTTCTTGTTCACCTGCATCAACAGAATTGCAGCTCTTCAGCTTCTGTGAGCTGCACAAAACCACCTGCCCATCTGTCTCAGTGTCTTTTGAAGAAAGTTTTGTATTTCCCGTTTTCAAAGACTGGCCAGACGACCGTTTCCTCTGAGTCCAAATATCACCAATTTCCTCACACTGTCTCTGAGCCTCTTTGCCAGTTCTGTGCATCTGATCGATGTTGGCATTTTTAAAGGCCTCTCCAGTCTGTTCTGCCTTCACAGGCACTCTGTCTGAGACCGGATCTCTGCCCTCAGCCTCCCAGTTACACATGCTGCCTGTATGAGGCAAATTTACATGCTTTGTGCCAACTTCCCCAGATACTTCTGGATAATTTTGCTGGCAAATATTCTCTAGCTGTTTCACATCATGCTCACAAACGTTTTCTTTTTTAACAGAAGTCATCTTGGTACTTTCTTCAGTATTGTTATTAATTTTGCTTTGAAGGCTGCGGAAAAGAAGTAAAGCAATTTAATGCATTACCTCCAGAATATATTTCAGTACATAATTTTTTAAAAGGAATGATTGTAAGCAATGATTTCTACTAACCGCAAAACTTTAGGTTTTGCTCTGTCAGTAAGGCTGACAGAGAGCATATAAACCTACACTGTAAAGAAAATCTGAAGAAAAAAAAAATCCAAATTATTCACTTCCTCCTTAAGCATCCTCTTACCTTTGCCTTGAAAAGTGCTTTTGCTCACTGTCACTGTGAGCCTGTAACTGAGCCCTCTCTATTTCTACATTCATCATTTTCACAAGTCTTCCTGGCTTTTCTTGATCATTTTAGCACTGCTACAGATTTCAACTTCCAATTACTTACAAACACCAATAGTAATATATTCACACCCTGATGACTGAAGAAGAGTGATAACTGATATTACTCTACATAAGATAGAATTAAAATCAAAAAGAGATGAACTACCTAGCAAACGTTGCTCCTAGCACACTACCCCATTGGGAAAACACCCTCACACTGTAGCATGTGCCAGGCAACACTGACACTTCCAAAACATCTTTGAGTACCCTGTAAATTCTGATCCAATTTACACCATAATACTAATAATCACAGCCCAATGAGATGGACTCACATTGACTCTTTCCTATAAATTAACAGCTGTGAGCTGAATACAGAACTATCAGATGAAATCCTCAGCCATTACTGAGTTAGGTTAAGCCAGAATAAAAGGCAAAGCCATTGACTATGTATGTGGCCTGATAACTACAGCTGAATGACTGCCTCTGGAAGCAGCAGTCCCACTCTGCCTTATCCTGCTACATGTTCTCATCTTTTTCTTTACAAGAACAACCTCAACAGTGAGTTGGAAGCTAAGTCAGCAAAAAGGTTTACTACTCCTGGGAGAGTGGGAGGTTACTTAGCTTTCTGTAGCAAAACACTGTCAGGCACTTACACTGAGGAGATGTGCTACAAAAGCAAAAAAGCAGAAATAAGGTTGATTTTTTTCAGTAGACACCAATACAGGCAACCTGCACTCTCAGTTCTGCACAGGCCCACTCAAAGAACACAACTTTTGAATAACTCCGGTGAATGCTTTACCTTCTGGACTCAGTTGTCTTGGGTCCTTTATTCTCCAACCAAGTGGTAATTGTTCTCTGTTTACAAGCTGAAAAACCACAATGCACTACATCATTACATGAAGCATGATGACACTGCAACACGATTGCATGTGAACACTGGATAGTGATAGGACAAGGGGTTTTAAACTGAGCCAGGGGAGGTTTAGGTTAGATATCAGGAGGAAGCTTTTCACACAGAGGGTGATGAGGCACTGGAACAGGCTGCCCAAGGAGGTTGTGGATGCCCCATCCCTGCAGGCATTCAAGGCCAGGCTGGATGTGGCTCTGGTCTGCTGGTTGGTGACCCTGCACATAGCAGGGGGTTGGAACCAGATGGCCATTGTGGTCCTTTTCAACCCAGGCCATTCTATGATTCTATGAATATGACCAGATGAAGATAAAAGCACCACAAATAATTCTTCACTATTATCCCCGCCAAAGGAAGCACTCAGACACTATTAAAACTACACATGATGCAATATTCCATTTGTAACACAGTCAGCAGCTGCAGCTTTAGTAATAACCTTTGTAAATTCCAGACTTTTGTTTTTAATCTAGAGCATACTTAAAAATCGCCTTGGAGTGGAAAAAAAACAATCACAGATCACAGAATAGCCAGGGTTGGAAGGGACCTCAAGGATCATGAATCTCCAACCCTCCCTGCAACATGCAGGACTACCAACTTCCCTATTTAGTACTAGACCAGGTTGCCCAGGACCCCATTCAATCTGGCCTGAACACCTCCAGGGACGGGGCATCCACAACCTCTCTGGGCAGCTGTTCCAGCACCTCACCACTCTCACAGTGAAGAACTTCCCCCTGACATCCAACCTAAATCTTCCCTCCCTCAACTTAAAACCATTTATTCAACCTGAACTTTAGATTTGGCATTATCACCTTTAATTACAACCAGCAACACAGAGAGCCCTGAAAGGCTGCTGAATTTCAGAATGAAGTGAAATAACATAACTTCCAAATTAATCTGTGGAAAAGACATTCTAGAAGATCCAGCTGAGCACCTTACTTGTACGCCACATACTGAGAGAGACTTCACATCAAGACCGTGCACACTAGACATGACTAATGCTCAAAAAGAAAGCTGTTCTTTTTAACTCTATCCATAAACTATCCATAAAGATTACTAATGCTTATTCCCCTAAAGAAAAACCAAACGCACGGGATGATTTTGTCACACTCAGTGCACCCCACATTGGTCCAGTGACGGTGATCACATCTCTGTGATGTTATGCTTCAGACAAGCCTGCACTAGGACAGACCATGAAATAATTACAAAGAGGATCCAGGGGACTGGGAGGAAAAAAATACAATCTCAAAGCAGTTCTTTCACAACTGGAAAGAAATTTTCATGCGGAGAATATTTTCATTTTGCTTTTTGTTGTCATTTAAAGCCAATTCTCAGCAGTTGTCAGTGGCTGTGGTTCTCTTTCCTTCCCTTTGGCAGGTGAACTCATCTACCTCCTGCTTCTGACTGGCAGGGGGCTCAGCCACTGCTGCCAACGGGATCAGGAAAGCCTGCAGTTTCCTTATTGCAACAGTAGATATACAGAACTTTAAAAAAAAAATCATTACAAGAGGTTTAGCTACACTGACAAGCAGTCCGCAACGCAAAGCATCATCTCGCTGCCCGCGGAGGTGAAACACGAGTCATTGAGGCCATAGGCAACCGCAGCCGGGCAGCGATGGGCCCCGGGAGGCGGCGGGGCCGCGTTCCGGCCGGTACGCACCTTTGTTCCCCACGGCGGTGACGGAGCCGCCCCCCCCGGGCCCCTCCGGGCAGCCGTCAGTAGGCGGCGGCCGCTGCTCTCCCCGTGCGCCGCCGCCGGGGCTGAGCCGGGCTCTCTTGCAGGGCTGGTCCCGCCCGCAGCCCGCGCTCATCCTCGGCGGGCACGCCTCCCTCCGCCCGCCCGGCCCGCCTCAGCCGCGCGGGCCCGCCAGCGGCCACCGAGGCCGGGCGGCGGCCGCCCTCCAGGGACGGCGTGACGACGCGGCGGCGCCGACTTCGCCCTCCCGCATCCTCCGGCCCGCGGCGCCGAGCCGCTCCCGTCGCGCCTCGCACCAAAATGGCCGCCCTGCCGCGCTCCGCTCCGCCCACGCCGGAAAGCAGCGAGGGGACCGCTACGCGACGGCGCCGCTTCACGACGGCGCCGCCGTCGCTTTACGGCAGCGCGGAGGCGCCATGGAGGGCGGCGGCAACTCCAGCAGCAAGGGCAGCGGCCTCGGCGGCCTCTTCGGCGCCGGTGGGGCCGGGTACTCGCACGCCGACCTGGCCGGGGTGCCGCGTGAGTAACGGCCGGCGGCGAGGAGGGCCGGGCGGGGGGCGCTGCCGGGACAACGCGGAGGGGCCGGGGCCGGGGCGAGCTGGGGCGCGGCCGGCACGGCGCCGGGCCCGCGGTGAGGTGGGCGGTAGCGGCTTCGTGCCGGTCTGCGGCCGCCCCTCGGCGCGATGCTCGTCGCTGCGCTCGTGAACGAGGGCCGCCTCCGTCAGCTCCCTACGTGCGGGGCTGCCGCGCGCAGCCGTGTCATCGTGGTCTTTTTGTCTTTGTCCCCAGTAACGGGAATGAGCCCTCTGTCCCCGTATTTGAGCTTGGACCCCAAGTACCTCGTACAGGTGAGATGAACGCTTGTTTCTTTGCGTTGAGGATGTTGTGGCCGTGCTGGAAGGCCTCAGAATCCCCGCAGGGCAATGCCGTGCCTACAGCCCCCACGTGGCAACGGGGGTCAGTTCCAAATCTGATAGAAGCTCACAGTGCGATGGCTTGTGCTACAAAACCAGTTCCAAAATCAGCAAGGATACTGTGTCCACGTGCCAATAGTGGAAGGAGTTCTTATGCCTCTTTTCTCGACCACCAGGCCCCAGCTCTTTCACATCTGGGCACTTGGCACATCCCTCATGTCTGTCAGTAATGCTTGTTTCCTAACACAGCTTCATGTTAGCTAATATCATTGACCACGTTGTAAGAAAAACAAATTAATTAAAACCCCGTAACGCTTTTCTTTTCCACTAATATTAACAAAAGATTGAAAAGATTCAAATTAATCCAATAAGGATGCATGTTAATTATTTCCTTTATGTATATATGTCTTATATTGTCTGTGATCATCACACCTTGCAGAAGTAGTGCTGACGGTCACCAGTCATATAGCATCTGCTATGTGTGCTTTTGATTCATGGTGCAAAAGTGGAAAGCTCTGAACAAAGTTAAGGGGCTGTTGTTTCTGTTCCTCTTTCACTCGGAGCTGCTGCAGTTAAGGTTACAACACAACAAGCCTATAATGGTAGGAAACAAGAGATATGCCTCTGCATAAGTGGATTCCCTGGCACAGTTGTCATGCTTGCTGTTGCTGAGTAGTCAAAAATATTAAGTAGTTACTTAAACCTCTTCCCAAAATACCCTCCAAAGTAACCTTGTATTTAAAGAGCACTCATATAGCTTCTGAACATGGAGTGAATGGTCCTCGCTGGGAAAGTCAGCATTTTTGTTGAGAATCTTATGCGTCTTTTCAGTGTCTCGTAATAAGAAATTAAAGTGCTTTGGCTGACCTTGCTCTACCATGTGCTGCTTTGTAGCAGGTTTCTCTAGCTCATCATCTTTTCAAATTTAGATATCTGACTTATAAGTCATACAAGAATACAAGTCAGCTCCTGTGGGAAAAGGGCATACAACTGCAAAAACTACCAGCCTCACATTTTTTATGCCTGACATCTCTATTTCAAATGCATTCCATGTTCCTACCTCTCCCCATGTCTTAAGGACTGGTCGCTTGAGTGCAGCAAAATACTTAATAGATACAGTTCTTCCATTAGCATCAGAGTAGTGGGAAACCTTAATGCATTTCTACATCTGTATAGGTTGCTCAGTGAGGAACAGCACTACACAGCCTGAAAAAAAAATAAAATAAGAGCCTTTAAATGAGAGCAGGTCTCTTGTTGCCTCCTTAAAGATACAGAAATAAATAGTTGCCAAGACTACAGAATAAGATTTCCTTGGCTTGGTTTCTTTATTATGAGAGTGCTGAGGTGCTGGAACAGGCTGCCCAGTCCCTAGAGGTGTTGGAGGCCAGGTTGGATGGGGCCCTGGGCAGCCTGGTCTAATATTAAATGGGGACATTGGTGGCCCTGCATGTGGCAGGGGGGTTGGAGATTTATGATCCTTCCAACCCAAGCCATTTTGTGATTGTCTGCCTGATATTATTTATAGAGAATTATGATAGGTGGAAAAGAAAAGGTCCCAAATCATTTCATGGTTTTGAATTATTTTTCCATTCTTACTGAAATATACGAGTATATTCCATATAAAACTAGTGTAGATAACAGATCCAGAAACACTGTTTACATATATTCTTGCTTTTGTTCACTGCATGGTTTAAGAAAACAAGTGTGGTCTACACTTTGTATTTTCAAGTGTATCTGATTTAAAGTTGTGGGTTTTTTTCTCCAGGATACAGATGAGTTTATCCTGCCCACAGGAGCCAACAAAACTCGTGGCAGATTTGAGTTAGCCTTTTTCACCATTGGAGGATGTTGTATGACAGGTACGTGGTCATATTTTCACTTTTTCCAGCTATTACAACAGCCTTTACCTGTAGCCTTACATAAACAGCTATTTAACTTCAGGCTATACGCTTTGAGTTTTCTCAGTGCCTACTTCCAGTATTTCTATTCTTTTTCCTGCTAACCAGGGGCAGCATTTGGTGCACTGAATGGCTTGCGACTTGGCTTGAAGGAGACTCAGAACATGGCATGGTCAAAACCTAGAAATGTACAGTAAGTGCTTGACTGTAGAAGTTCAGCTTAGTAACAATTTTTTTTTTCAGGATAGAACAAAATTAGCTCTGAATATACTGCAAAACCAAATGTATCTATGTCTTTAGTAGAGACAAATTGGAATCCAAATTAGTCAGCATTGAGTTATCAAGTGTTTTTAGACTAAAGATGTTCAGTTCAATAACTTTGTTTTTCATTTAGTGACAATTATGTCTTCTGACTTATCTCGAGTATTTGAGAGACTAAATTACTGGTTTATTATTTATTAGAAATCTATTTCAAAATGAAGGCAGTGATTGTATTCGTTGAAGTATTTCTCTAAAGAAGCAATTTGTTTAGAGCCATTTTTTTCCCTTATTTATCTGAGAGCACCTTCTCTCTGCATTCCTGATCTTACCAGAACTGGAAGGAAATTAAAAAGCAAAAGATGTGCTCGCCTGGATTTGCATACTGCTGAGCAAACATTGCACAGCATTCCACTCACCAAGAAGCAAAATGACTTCTGACATGTTCTTGACAATACCAGGCAAAGTATTTGCAGGTAGTCTGATAGTCCTATAAAGAATGGTATTCACTCGACTGGTGAAGGAGATCTCTGGTTATGCAGCACTTCTTATGAACCAGCCTAAGCCCAAGAGGTGCTCTCTCTACAATGGCTGGCCCTTACATGAGCCCAGGACTCCACCCTTTCTGGTCCCATGGGGAGCACAGGTGTGAACAATTTGCCTGTGCTCCCCAGGCCAGCTACAGCCCTTCACCAGGTACTCAATCTCCAGTTCAAGCCATGAACATTGCCATAACAGTTCCCCTACATTCTACCCTTTCACAACATGAACAGTGACTGGGCACTGTTTGCCCTACAAAGCAGCAAAATTGCTTCTGACAAGTTCTTTGCAATCCCCAGCGAAGTATTATTGGGGGAATACCAATAGTCATATACAGGAAAAAAGTTTGACTCACCCAGGTAGCAGTGAGGATCTCTGGCTGTGGAACCCTCCTTTCAAGGAAGCAGCTGGTGTCTAGGAGAGGTTCTTCCTGCAGAGGCTAGCTCTTAAATGAGCCCAGGGAAGTGGACCACAATACACCCCTTGCAGTCATGTGGGAAGCACAGGTAAATTGTCTGCAGCTGTGCTCCCTGGGCCAGCCACACCCCTTCACCAGGTGCTCAATCATCAGCTCAGGCCATGACCTAATAGTTCCCGTACAAGTGGATTTGGAGATGAGCTCATGCATTGGAATCACAATTTATACAATTAATAATTCCCATCCGGAACGGGCATAAGTCTTTAAAAAGATTCACTTGTGCAAGCAGGTTTCATAGTTGTTGCAGGATCTCTCACAGAAGGTTTGTAGTTATTGCAGAATCATAAATGTTGTGCAATTTCTCCAAATGTCCAGATTGTTCTTTTCTTCAAGGAAGTCCACTACCAGGTGCTATTTAAGAGATCATTACTAGGACTCTTCAATGACATTAGAGCACATCAGAGTTGAGTGACATTGCTCCTCCTGGTGGTCTTACAGGCGATAGATCTCAGGGAGAGTAAAACAGCTATTTAACCATTACCAGAACTAGCAAAGTCCATCCTCCAAGGTAAAATATGTGCCATATTACAGTTCTGGGCCAGTATTTCTGCCAGAACAGGGACACGCTTAAGTCATTTATACTTCGCTTTTCAGCCCAATATTGATGGTTAGGTAGGTCAAGCACCAGAACTGGGATTGTTCTGACCTACCAAAGCAACATTATCTGTGTTCCCTTCACAATGAAAATCAGGATTTGTATTATCATTTCTGGGATACATGTACCAATTACTTGCAGAGTTACTGATTCCCCCTCTTCTAGTAACCTCCCCTGCAGTGCAAGCAAGCCACTCTGATCTTACCTGCATCTTCCAAGGCCAGTTTACCTTACTAGTCCCTGGCACAAGGTCCTCAGGGGTAGGGAGCGGAAGATTATACAGCATCCCAACTTGGGGTTTCAAGCACGGATCACTCCCCTAATTTGAATTCTAAGAAGGAAGACCCAAGATGTCTGTAATATACACAGGACACTGGCTTGACCATCTCTGCATTTCTCATTTAAAACCTTCAGCATCTCGTGAAGTCATTTAATCCACCACTTCAGATAACCAGTCTTCAGAGCAGCCTTTAGAATGCCATTTCTGTCTTTGAGTTGTAGATGCTTTACCCAGAATCCTGCTAATTACACCAATTATTTTGCTCATCAAGAAGCAAAATTGCTTCTGACAGACTGTTGGCAATACCAGGCAAAGCAGTTGCAGGTAGACTAATGTTGTATTGAAAAAGAGTGGAACTCACTCAACTGGTGAAGGAGCTCACTGGCTGTATAGTACTTCTCCTGAAGAAACTAGCCTAGACCAAAGAGATGCACTCCATATAGTGGCTGGCTCTTATATGAGCCCAAGGTGGCTCCACACTGAGTCACCCCTTCTGGTCAAGTGGGGGACACAGGTGCAAACAATTTGCCTATGCTTCCCAGGCCAGCAACACCCCTCCACCAGGTGCTCAATCACCAGTTCAAGTCGTGACCTAACAGTTCCCCTACACAAAGTATAGGATTTTCTGGATCACAGCATCCATGAGTATCCCCAGCATTCCCAAACTGACACCATATCTTGTTGTTTGAAAGGATGCAGTATACTTATATAATTATTGGTAGTTTAGACGCCACTATAAGAAAACATAAGTGCCCTTAAAGGAGACATCGCAAACTAGAAGAGTGAAATAACTGAGGGAGACTGTTTTCATTCTTCTAAATTTCTTTGGAAAAAGGGAATTTTAAACAAGCGATGTGCTATTATTTCACAGTCCAGTTTGTACAGACTCTTCTCCTTTTAAAACAGTTTTTGTATTTTCCATCCCATTCTTTACCATTTGTAGTATTAAAGATAAAACCAGAATACTCCCCTTGAGAGTTCCAACTCTTCCATAGATGAACAATATTGTACTTTGTGTATTCATAATGAGCTTAGACAGATAAATGTTTTCATGCAGATTTTGATGGGTCCGGCCCAGCAGGTGGCAGTCATTGCACACGCTGCTGTTTTGTTGTCCTTGCCCTTCAAGGGAAAACATGTTGAGGATCATCACCTTGAATTAATGTATTAATTTTGGTCTTTTCCTAATCAAAGGCAAGGAGGAGAAATGTTTCTCTATATCTCCTTTAAATTCATCCTAAATGTACACTTTTTAAAATATACATTTTGCTGGTATTTCCCTTCAGATATCTTGTAGTATTTTATGTGTTAAAATAATAATTTTCTCATCAATTCTGAATTGATGGAATGTTGACAAAATGGAGCTGGGGGTTGTATTGAGAAGGAGACTGTCAATACCCTGGCCTCTTGGGTGTTTTCCTCACTTCAAAATGAAGTTCATTACATAACCATGTTCAGAAGCAGCCTCTGTCCCTCTCCTAATTAGGAAAGAGGAAAAGTAGTAAGAAATGAAATCAAACGAACTCAAATGAGAAGGAATACAATGTGTAACATTTTCATTGTGTGAAGTGATGAACTAAGCTCCAGCGGTAGTCAGCTGTCCAGGGCAATGCTGTGCCTGTGGCAGTGTTACACTGCTGGGAGATAAAAATCAGTCATCTCTTCTGGCTGTTGTCACCGTTCTGGTGACAGCTGATGCCAAGAAGAAGTGACGTGGTGCTTCCCTGAGAGTGTGCTAAGGGTTTCATTTTGCTCTTCAGTGCTAGTCCGGAAGCATACATGCAGAAATATTTTTTAGGGTGCCTTACTTTTGCTGTGCGCTCCTTTTCACAAATGGAATTACAGGATTTCCTCTTTCCCACTGATATGAGTTTGTTCAGACTTGTGTTTCATTCCTATCTCACTCATTTAGGTGTCACCACGCTCCCTGATACATGATCTCTGTTTTGCTTGCACCTTCTAAAAGAGCACTCTGGCTTTCTTGGAGATGTTACAGTTAAAACAACTCAGTTATATCAATCGTTCTCACTAGCTATACGAAAAGCTGTGTTACAAACAAATTAGTATGTTTAAGAAGTCATTTGAAGGGAAGAGATTCACATCTTGATATGGTGCGAGTCTGTCTCGAAGGACAGATTTTCTTAAGACTAGACCAAAATAAATATTTGCCATTAGGAGTGCATGCCCTGCTCTTTGGAATATGCATGATGGAGGAGATTATGTATTACCAAGGTGTATGCTTTTCCTTACTGTTCTATTTTAGAAGGCTTTTTAGTTTGTTATTCCAGTTTCAGTGATAAACATGTAGTATAAACACTTCATACCTGCTATCATGAATCCAGTAGCATTAATTCTCAGGCTTAGAATAATGCCTGACTGTAAAGCAGTCAGCAGAGCACTGAAGCTTTTAATATCTTTTTAACTTCTTTACAGAATTCTAAATATGGTGACAAGGCAAGGAGCATTATGGGCGAACACTCTGGGATCTCTGGGTAAGTGAACTTGTCATTTCTAGAGAAAACAATTTATAAGTATGTAACCATTTCAAGGAAAACATATCCTTCTACATTTTCATTTTGACATCCACCAGGAACAATTGCAGCTGCTTCTTTGGAATTTGAGAGTATTTCAGCAGAAAGGCCAAAATTGAATTTTAAGAGCAAGTAGCCAGAAGCCTCTAATTAATGAATAGTATTTCTAGTGCATTAGAAACAAGAAATCTAGCTGTGGAATAAAAGGAACAGACAAAAAATTAAAGGTAATATTTAATGGTTAGGAAATTCTAGTTAATTCTGCAGCTTAAGGCAAAAAGTATGATTTGGATCCTTTTGAAAGAAATAACAATCTAAAAAGAGATTTTGGTTATATGGGCCATTTCCTGATGTCTGTCTCCAGGTAAAAATCAAAATGCTTCTGCAGAAGAAAATATGATAGCCACTAAAAAATTTTGTAGTTTTATGGTGTTAGCTTGGGTAGAAAAATTGCGATTTCAGGTCTAGACATTGCTTATAACTAGTACAAATTAGAAAAAGAGCAAAGAAAATTATCAAAAGTCTGATGGGAGAACTTCTGTAAACCAAGTGAGGGAGACAGAAAAAAAATTGCTTCAGAAAAATGATTTATGGAACTCCATGGAAGTCAATGGAATGACTGAAGTCCTGGAAAATATAAGCTCTTTGGCTGGTGTTCCCATCCCACCTCCCGGTCTTAAAAAGAACAAGTAGTTACTCTGAAGGGAGAATCATAGAATCATAGAACAGTTTGGGTTGAAAGGGAACTCTAAGATCATCAAAGGGACACCTCCCTCTAGCTCAAAGTCCCATCCAGCCAGGCCTTGAATGCTTCCAGGGAAGGGGGAAGGGGGCATCCACAACCTCTCTGGACAACCTGTTCCAGTGTCTCACCACCCTCACAGTAAGGAATTTTTGTGAGAAGTGGAGAACTGATGGAAAGGTGTTGTTTTGAAATTTACCGATGATGGAACTCACTGCCCCACAAAGTGGTAATGGGAGTTAAATGATCAGTATGTAAAACATACTAGGTAGTGTTACAACCTTACAGTATTTTATGTCATAATTAAAAAAAAAAAATGCAAAGCATTGGCTAAATTGCACTTATTACATTTTATTTCAGTCTTATTTCTGAAGAGTAGGTTAGTTTGCCAGTTAACTTAGACATCAACTTTTGAGATATAATGTAGAGACCATGGGATTCTGAATAACTGAGTATGACAGTTTTCAAAAATGGAAGCATTTGCCTAGGATTTTTTCTTTTCTGAAGGGGCGGGGGGTTGGGGGAGTGGTATTTTCTATTCCAACTCTAATCAAAACATTTCTGAAAAATGGGATGCAGGAACACTGCAGTTCAAGGTCCGAAGGTAAGTGACACATTAACAGGATTTTTCAGCTGTGTTTGAAGAAAGATTACTCAAGAAAATGTTTGTGCATTCCAGTAACAACTTGTTTCTTTTGTTACAAAGTATGACTTCATGAGTCACAGAGTTAAGCAGAACTTTATATCTGGGGGGTTGGTATTAGCTCTGCATCATCCTATGTACTAGAGAAAATCCTTGAAAAAAGCTAAAGAATTTTTGCATTTTATTTCATTTGTGCAGCATTTCTGTGTATCAGATTCCTTTTGTCAGTACAGACAATTTTTTGTCATTCTGTTCCTAAACAGAGGTAGCAACATATTTATTTAAAAGAATGTGTTGAATGTAGCTCTTTCTTCTCCTCATTGTTCATACAACATGCAACTAAGACAGTGAAAACCATCATTGCCTGTCTGGAAAAAGATGCTATTGCTTGTCTTACCAACTTTAATATGGCTGCTTATAGCAGAAATAAAGACTTTAACTCTTAGCAGATGAAAGATGAAAGTGACACAGTGTTGTCATCACTTGAAGACTGTGACATGCTCTCCTGTCCAGAGCCTGAAATGTGATTATACCATCAGACTCCTTAAGGGTGGGTTTGGGGGGGCTTCTCCTTTGTACAGAAAGTTTAAGCTGTATGTGCATACATATTGAAAGTTGACACATTTCTAAGTCCTCTTCAGGATAGTTGACAGACTTCTGCAAAGTTTGGGGACAGAGTTCTCCTATGAAGCAGAGGTGAAGCAGTTGTATATATCAAATCCCAAGCATTTATGCAGGAAACATAGACCCTTGTTCTCCAGTCTGTGGTACCATGTTCTGAATGCTACACCTAAACAACTGGCATTAAATCTTGGTGATTTGTGGACAACAATTTGGTCTGTTGTGTAGAAAGTGTTGAGCTGATTTGTTTCGTCCCATCTCCAGAGGGCAAGATAAAGCCTGACAGTACACAGTTAAATCTTGGAAAGCTTTTAAACAGGCCTAAGCCTCGGCCACTTGATATCATGTTTGTCATGTCTTCAGACAGTACCAGATATCATGAGTAATGCTACTTTATGACCAAACTATGGCTAGAGAAAGGTTATCTGTATAACTATGAGGGCTGGAGTAAACACCAAAGGCAGAAAATCTGTGTACAGTTTAACTACTTACACTGAGCCTTGATTCTGAGCCTTGTATCTTAGACAGTGGGAATTTTAACTTGAATTTTTTAATACTTTTCCTTCCCAGCTTTGCTGTACAGTGCTTTTGGAGTCATCATTGAAAAAACACGAGGTGCAGAAGATGACCTGAATACCATAGCTGCTGGAACCTTGACAGGAATGCTATACAAAAGCACTGGTAGAGTGACAAAATGTTTTTATTTTTCCTCTTGTGCTTTCTCCTAGTTATTAGGACTTGCTACTTTTTCTAAATACTGTCCTGCTCCAATAATTGACAGTATAAAAATGGTATATTTGGCACAGAACTGGAACATAGCTTTTTGCAATTGCAGATATCTTATGAGTGACTTGTAATAAGCTTCATCGTGAAGCAATCAAGGTGTTCTGTATTTCTCACCTCCCATCTCCAACCTCTCCTTCACTGTGGAAGGAGATTCCCATTTCCTTGCATCCACTGACAGCCTTGTGAGAGTGTTGGTTTTTATTCCTGCTATACCTGAAGAAGGCAGCTAAGAACAAGCTAGGTACTTTTTTTCTATGATCTCACCATAAAGATGAGTAAACATTAGCCTGTTTATTTGGTATATGTGTATAACAAACATAATTTGGTTCTCATGATTATTGTTAGACCTTTGCAAGATGGAAAGAATGCAGGTTAATTCTGCTGGAAATGTCATTTACCTTTTTAAATGCAAATTTCCCTTCAGCAGACTTAGTTGCGTGCAAAACAATGTGTGGGCTAGGTCTCAGCTACCTGTGAAATTTGGTGAAGTTGCATATCTTTTCTTAGCTAATTGAAATTGTTTACTTATGCCAAAAAGGAAAAAAATGATGCTGTCAGCTTCTAAGGTTAAGAAATAACAGAAATATTAAAATAGAAAGAGACCATGGCCTTCTCTAAGCATGTACAAAACATTCATCTTGTACAATTTTAACCAGTTTAAGACAAAATTACTTTCCAAACAGGGGTTAATTAAAAAAAAAATAATCACATCCAAGGAAGTGAAAAATCAGGAATTCAAATGGAACACTTAAAGAAGCCTTAAGATTGTTTTCTAAACCTGAGATTTTATGGATTTGTATCGTTAAAGTATGCAGAAAGAAGTTAATATATTTGTAAAGTTATCACGTGGATGTTTGTACAGCCATTGTGGTAGGACTCTCATCTTTGCACAGTGATCAAGACCATCAGTGTTAGAGCAGCATGGGTTTAAGGTGAGTTTGCTGGTGAATATTGAGTTGTTTGCAAGGGAGAAGGCCTGAACTTCGTCAACAAGACTTCTGCTAACACAGAAGTTATTATTCCAGGCTCAGCAATGGAGGGATCATAATTTTTAGAGAATTACTGGGTACCAGAGGAAAAAAAGTGTCAGTTTTATGTATCTCAATAAAAGTTAGGCTGTATAATTCACCTGTATGAGGAGATAATTCTATAATTAACCTCTGTACTTTTGCATATTTTGCTGAGCCTCAGTGTTTTAGAAATGTTTTTGAATATCTTCTTTATATATGGAACAAAGCAGCTTGAGATACCTTATTTTTCTGTTGATTTAGACTAATTAAAAGCAGCAGTCGTTGGCTGGAGCAGTCTTAGAAATGCCAACTGGTGCACTTAACCTTGCTAGAGCATATAGCTCTCTTGCAATCAATTACTTAATTGGGACTTCCTGAGGAATCTGCTAGATGGCCATCTACAGCTGCATAGGCTACAGAAAATGTAAGAATTCTATTCTGCCACGACTGCCATCTTGCACTCCAGAAGTTGTTTCCCCCTATGCCTTTCAGAAGTATGGAACTGGCATTTTGTGTGATCATTTCTTGGTGCAGTGCAACCATGCATGCCTACTTTGGTCACACGCAGTCATCTGATACTAAAAAAAAAATTACCAGAGCACAGTGGGACTTCTCGTTTGTAACATATGATCTGTTGAGGTCATAGTCACACTGATAAAGGTAAGTGTAGTGAATAAGTGTGTATTCATCAGTGTTGGATTTCTGCTATACCTCCTGCACAGAAAGTCAAAAGAAATACATTTTCACAGGCAATGTGAGCAGCACAGTAGACCTTTATTTTTAAGGATTAGTTCTGGAAGTGAAAAAGATGTTGGCCACATCTGTTGGATGAACTTAATTTCAATATTTTCATTTTTTCCTTTCATGCTCTGTTCTTCCTGCTTTTTCTCCCACGCTTCCTTTCCTACCCCTTATGACAGAGTACCCTTCCTCACACAGTATGGTAAAGCTTCCTTCAAAAGCTGTGCCTTTACCCAACATGAATACATGTGTCCAAAAGCCCTGAAATACCTCTGTTACATCATATGCAAAGGATCAGTTCAGGTCTGTGATGTACTCTAAGCTTGTAACCATTTTATGTTACATGGAATGCCATGTTGTATTGGCATTAAAAGGGGCAATTTGAAGGCTGAAACATTTCTGTGAAAACACTCACATTTCAACAGCAGTCAGAAATTCCCAGGGGCACCCCTCCCAAATCAACTCCATTCTATTAATAAACAAGGGAGGATGCAGAGTTGACAGAGGCAGTGTTGTTGAAGCACTCACATTTTTCATTCCTATCATTTCTCTTTTGTGAAGAGATAGGAATGTGTTTCAGAAGAAATGGTATAAAGTAAGGCAGGTTTTTTTGTTCTGACTTCCTTTTCAAGCATGGCACTGATGGAACAATCCTGCCATGCTGGAAAAATGCTCTTTTATGTATTGTACAAAGCCTTCCTGTAGACTGTTTCTGAAACTGAAGTGATTTGGCCTTTGCTGAGAAAGCATGAGTGGACAGGAAACAAAAGTAGTATGAAGACTTCTTGGAGGTTTGTTGCCCCAAACTGGTCCTAGTGTTCACAGTTTGTCTTTGCAGAGGTGTTAATCATTACCAAAATGCCAGCAGCCAGAAGGCTTTGAGATCACCCACACCCTAAAGCCAGCAGTTTGCAAGCAGGTTTGTGCAAGACTCCTTAACCCACAGCTTGTGTATGAGGAGATAAAAAGAATATTTAAGTCTGCAAGTGCCGACTCTGGAAATTCTGCTCTTCTGTGTTCATTGGAAATGGTGTTACTTGTTGAAAATTCTCCATTGCAAGTGACTAAAGCAGTTAAGTCCCCAGGAGTTCTGACAGACCTCCTTGCAGCCAGTCACGTAGGTTAGTTCGCTGCAAGGAGGGGAATGTTAGCATGGAATCCATCTAGGTACACTGCATGGGTTGGATCAACAGGAGCTGTGAGTAGAGTTTGAAAGTGGAATTAACTTGGGGAGCTTGGAGGCAGCACACTTTTGCAGATCCATTTGTCCAAGGTGGTCTCTGACTTTCTCGCTGGTAAAATGCTACGGTTACTTACTAGCTCTTAGCCTAAAAGTAGCCATGTTCAGTATGAACTTCCTGCACCAGACTTTGCAGTTCATGAAAGCTCTCAGCATAAATTCCATCCAGAACATTTGGTGTGATGGATGAAAGAAAGCCCTTTATGTTCCCATGTCAGTGGCATATGAAATAAAAGCGCTGCAGCTTAAGAAAGTGGAACAGGATTGACTAAAAGGGAGTCTGATTTCCTAAGCCTAGAAGGTTGGTTTTTTCTTTTACTTAGATACTCTTTATTCTTTGACTTCAGACCAAGGCAGGAGTTAAGGTCTGTTAGATGAGTGTTTTTGTCCTGAAAGGTTACAAAGCACACATACTAACATCATTAGAGCAAAGAAATGTTGGATTGCTCTGCACTAAGTATTGATCAGTCGGGAAAAAGATACTGAGCTGGGAGGGCCTTTGGTCTGAGTCCAGGTGACAGGCATTGGTTTCTCACTGTAGCCTTACAGAGTTCACTAAACAGAAAACTTCAGTGACCTTTATCTGAGCATTACGCAGGCTGTAGATGTTCTTCTTGTTAGATAACTTTTATTTCCACTGTACCGCAGGTGAGATAGGAACAAGAATAAACTCTTTGGACAAGCTGAATCAATTTTGCTTACTGTGCTTCTGTGCAGTAGGAGCCTGATAGAACCTCTCTTGCCTTTTGCACAGTAGCTGGTACGTAATTTAGTATAAAATAATTTGAAGAGAAATGGATGCTAGCAATAACCAAAGGCAGTACTTGTCATCTGAAGATCTCAGATCACAACCCTTGAAATCAGTGTGTCATGAGTTAGTTAAGAAGGGCTAAACATTATACTGCTAGCAGTAAAGTCTGCACAGAGCTAAAGATTAGTTCTGTGAACTACATTGGTAGGAGCCAAGGGTGTTTGGGTTCACTAATTATGTTGTGAACTATAAAGATGTCTTCCCTCTGGGTTCAATCTATTTTTCTTTAGGCCAGACAGGTGTTTTTTTTCTCTTGTTTCTTTCTGTGGAAGGGAGGCAGGGGAAGAAACTGCTAGCAGGCTGCTGCAGCTGTGGCTCTGGCATCTCTTAATGCACTGCTTTATTCAGAGAAAAGCAAGTAAATGATTTGCTTCTGAACTTTAAACTTCATATCTGTCAGGTATTTAGACATCAGTACTCTCTTAAAACTTAAAAAGCTGAAGTTGCCTTGTGTATGTGAAAAACCAAGTCCTTAGGTTATTTAAGTAACATATTTGTCCTACAGGCCCTGAAGGAAGTGAAGCTGTTCCCACTCTGAATATCAGAGGAGAGGAAAAACTAATCATGCCTTAGTTCTTTTGTTGGGCATAAATAGGTGGGGCTGGGTTTTCAATTAAGGTATCCCTAATGTTACCATAGAATGTTCTTGTTTTATGCATCCAGGAAATGAGAGCTCTGAGAATACATTCTGAAAATATGGGCAGTAAAGTCTGAAATGGAAGATTTTACCCTCGTGTTGAACAGCGTAGGTCATGTTTTTCCCTACTGAGTCAAATTCACTGCATCTGCTGTTAGAATACATTGAGTCATCTCACAGTGTGCTATGCATGTCAAATGTGTCAGAGATAAAGGCCAGTATTCTGGTGAAAAGGTGCATCAGCTAAAGCCAAACCAACCACACTGTCACGCAGGAAGCCTTAGGTGCTTTTTCAGAAACCCACAGCAGCTTCTCAGCTATCAATCCTGAAAGTTGCCTGATCTCGAAATACCTGCTCTCTGAAGTGTCTGTCAGCTGGGCCTTTATCTCAGCCCAGCACACAGGATGGGAGGCCCACCATCACGTTTCTAGCAGGGTTTGCTGAGACAGAATTGGTATCTGAGGGCTGCAGAGGGCGATTGCAGAGGAGGGGTGAGAACTTGGCTATCATGGAAACACAGCTGAGATGGGAGGGGAGAGGTTTTTTCCATTTTTTTGTTTATTTAAGAAACAAGGTGATTTTTTCAGAGGGCTTAACATTTCCTGCCCGGCAACTGGGCGGCTACATTCTGCAGTGCATTACTGTTCAGTGTCTGCCACAGATCTGGAGGCTTTTACTTAGATGGAAATCAGTTGTGGAAAGGAAAGTTCTTTACGTGGTTTCTGCTTTGATGTTTTTTTTTAAACTAACTCAGTAAGGCACTCATTTTCAGCTGCATGATTTCTTGCTCATGAAACAGACAGACTTCCCTTTATGCATTTTCCACAAAGTCCAAGGGGCCTTAAATTCTGTGCAGGACCTGCAGAATGCTTCAGGCCTGTAGGGTTGATGCTTTGTAAGTAGGTTAGGGCTTCCCTCCTCTCCTGACTGGACATGGTATGTGACAATGTTAACGCTTATTTTTTGTTAGGAGCAGCACCAAGCCTGTGTGGATGCTGGAAGATGGCTCCACTGTGCATATTAAAGAGTTCTCCTGACCTCCCTCACAATCAGGCTCCATCAGCCTCCAACCAACCTTTCTTCTGTAGAGAAAATATGATTTTAAGGTGAAAGGAGGGGAATAGGGCTTGGAGCTGAAGGGAGGGTCTATAGGGACAGTCACAGCCCCATGCTGCCTCACTTTCTGTGCGGATATGCCATGTTTCATCCTCTTCCCTGTAGAGCTGCATGGTTAGGAGCCCTCTTTTGGAGGTTTCTTCCACAAAGAATTGCTACTTAATATAAGCAGCAGGCTAATGTTTAATTCATTTTTTCTCAAAAAAGCAATGAGCAAATGGTATTTTTGCAGGTTTTGCACATGGTATACGTGTGGCTTGCAGCCAGCAGCTGCCCGCAGAGGGACGCCTGTGTGTGCCCAGTGTGTACCCAGCTGTGAGCCCTTCCTTTGAGAAGCTTTTTTTGCAGCGAGGTCAGGCTGAGCTACCAAAGCCACAAGTCTGCCTTTGGGTTCCTGGTTTGGGCACATAGGTGCATAAATGTCTTTTCTTACTGCTCAGAGCTTTACTTGGAGCAGTGAGGGCAGTGACCTCAGCAGGTTTGTATCCAAACCCCCCAGGTCATCACAGTAAGTCTGGCAGTGAAGTTTCGAGAAAGCCACAGCCAGATCTGACCTCTGTTACGGAGTCCAAGCTCTGCTCTTGGCTCTGCAGCTTCCTGGTTGCAGCACATGTCCAGCAGCACGAACAGCTTTAACAGCTCCAGTGAAATGTGTTTGATCTTGCAGCGCATGTAGGGCTGTCTCAGCCTAGCTGGAGCCAACAGCTCCCTGCCCCACTAAAAGCCTAGATGCAATCCTGTGAAACAGCTTTATGGCCCCTAATGGTAAAAGAAAGGAATAGTCATTGCTGATTACTGGGATGTGCTTCCTTTCAAGCCTGAGGAACTTTACCACGTGGGCACATGGCATCTGGCCACGATGGTGTGTGTTATCTTGCATGCTTAGTTTGGCACAGATAAACATTGCAGAATCAAACTCTGAAGTTCCCCGGTGTTGAGTCACGCTCTCAGATGTTCCCATGTGGTCAGAGTATATTCTGGGAACTTGACCAGAAGCACTCTCTGCTCCTGAGAAACACAACCGTTCTGCTGTTCGGTAACAGCGGAGGGACAGATGCCTCCCTCCCCTTCTGCCACTGCACGTTGCAGTTCACGTGGGGTGTGTGAGGCTGTGGTGCCACTGACTCCCACATCCCAGCCATGCACTGGCAGTGGCCACACCTGCACTGGATTTTTACTGTCACAACTTACAGAATCCTTAGGTTCAACTAAGTAGCTTTATATATACATATTTATTGTCTGTGCTTCTCAGTCTTTGCCATTGCAGAATGACTTTAAAGGTGAAGAATATAAGAATAGAGGAGATTATTCAATGCATTGCCCTAGGAAGTTCTTGACAGTTATTGCTTTTTTTTTTAAGGTTTATTTTATTTTATTTTATTTTATTTTATTTTATTTTATTTTATTTTATTTTATTTTATTTTCAGAAGGTTTAATGTATACCAAAAAGTTCTGTCTGATGGCCCTCCTCAGCCTCTGGTTCCCAAGGTCACACACACATCACTCCTGTTCCTTTATTGCCATCCTGCCCTTTTTCCATTCAAATCTAGTGACTCATGGACAAACAGGACTTTTATTCCCCATCTGAATCCCTAACTGGAGGAGCTCTTAAAGCAAGAGGTTGTCACGTTTGCCTGGAAACCTCTGCTGAGGAAAGATGAAATAGAAACAGTAGGACTTTGGAAAAGTCATCATTCCTTCAAGCGTTCTGTGTGGTTTCTAAAGCTGTGGTGCTGTGTTACCAGAAGTGTGACAGAAGTCACAACAGCAGGAGTAGAGTCGGGGTGATCAACCACCTCTCCTGAGCTTAGCTGTTGTTCTGAGGGTTCCACAGGCACCCCTTCTGGAAGGTTATTCAAAAAAGCACATGTTGTAGATGTGAACAACTTCTTGGGAGTTACTGCGGCTGATGATCGCATGGAATAGTGTTAATGAGCTTTTCTTCTTTTTCAGGTGGAGTGCGTGGGATAGCACGAGGGGGCATTGCAGGTCTGACTCTCACCGGCCTCTACGCTCTGTATAACAACTGGGAGCACATGAAGGGCTCCATTTCCCGGCAGTCCCTCTGAGCAGGGCAGCCAGCGCCGGGCAGAGGACACGCTTGCACAGTCACCAATCCAATCACTGCGAGATCTGTCTGGTGCCCTTTCCTATTCTATTTACAATTAGTGAGAAACTGAAGGAAGCTGTGTTGGGAGGAACCTCTTGCCACCGTTTGGCTGGATTGGCCCTTTCCTTCCTGCCAGCCACTTGTTGGAGGCAGTGATAGTTGTTGGACCTGCAAGCGAGCGGAGCGGCCACCACGACAGTCTCCCTGACACGCTCACCAGCCAGCCCTGGGCCAGAGCCATGCAGTGTGCTTGAGTCCCATCACTGTGCCAGCTGTGCTGCCAGGTCTGGGCAGATGAGTGCTGCTGCTGCACAATAAAGGCTCTGTCCATAGAGCCCTTCACTGTGGTCTGTCAACAGCACCTGGGCAGCCGGAGCAGGTGGGAGATTCCAGCAGCAACTGGCACAGGGCAGGGCTCGTTGCTCTTACAGCTCAGGGTAAGCTGTTAAAAGGGATATTGTAATTAATAAAAAGGGTGGTACTTATGCAACACCTTTTCTATGCTTTGCTGTTCCTGCTGTTGTTGAGACAAAGACGTCCTGCATCCAGTGACTTGCATTTACAGTTCAGCTTTGAAGGCCCATTGTGATAGAGTCATGAGGCAGTTGGGTGAGGGGAAGTGATGGATGGCCGATTGTCTCCTGATGCATGGTGACAGCAAGGCACGCTGGGCAGGGGCTGGTGCCACTCTCTGACTTGTAACAAACACAGAAGTTGTGTATGGATGGAGGGCAGTAACCAATTACTATTGCAAGACAGCTGTCATTGGGTTATAAACATTTTGGTGCTCCAGGACCTTACAGCTCGCTCAGCCAACCATTAGAAACCAAGCAATACAAGTACTTCTCTTGCTTGCTGTTACTGGGTTTTTAGTTATTAAGTTTCTCTTCCCAGTCCCCAAGTAGTTCTTATAGATTACTGGTGAAATGATGAATCTATGCCTTTACCAGCATTGAAGTGAAACCATGAAATGGTTTGTGAAATGCTTGATAGCACTTTCTGTAGATAAATGGAACAGTAAGTTACAAATCAATTCAGTAGTCAAGACTACTGTTTAAAAGCTCATTCCTTAAGTTTGTAATTAAGCAGGCCCAGGACAGGACAAAGGCAGGGGAGAAAAAAAAAACAACCAAGAGAGATACTTCTTAATAAATAACTTCCTGTAAAGCTTTTGGTAGTTACAGTACACTGCACAAAAATAGAGACAAAGTAGAAGAAGAAAGGTAGCAGTGCTTTTCTCTCTGTCAAGGAGCCTCTCTCCTGAAGGAGACTTCACAGTTGCACTCCATTGGCCTTGCTTGGCTGCCAGCTCAAAGCAGGTGCTTTCTGCCAGCATTTAACTAGGTCTAACATAAAGGAAAGAAAACCATTTTCCATCTGCTTTGTAAATGCTGTTTCTTGTTAAACCTTATTTATGTTCCACTTCATTCAGAGTGGGTTATGTATCGGTGTTGTGGTATAAGGGCTGGACCTTTTAGCACACACTCTTTAGGGCTGCACCACTGAAGAAACTGTGTCCTGCTTCCAGCTGCAGAAAGGTGAGTTGGGCACCAGCTGTGCAGTGCTGATGGTGGGACATGGGAAAGGTGCACGCAATTTCAGATAGAGCTGCTGTTTTCCTCCCCACTGGTGTTGAGGGTTCCTTCCAGTCCGTGTTTTTTAGTCACCTTTAATAGGAGTTGTACTCCTGCATGCTCAGCAAGGATAGACAAAGGATTGTTGCCTGGAACTGCTTGCCTCAGAGCAGAGCTAAGTGTGTTTTTCTACAATAAGCTTTGTTTCTAAGGCTATTAACAGCTGTGGTTCCTAACCTGCTTTTATATAGTGATGTGTAGTTGAGCTATGAAATACAGCCACAGCAGCAACCAGCTCTGCATGGGATTTAGCTTGGAATGCTGCAGTTTTCACATGGAAGAAAAAGGGGAGTAGTGACCATCTAGTAGCAGCAGCATGCACTAACATATGCATGCACTAGCATGTTCATATCTGATGGCTCCAAGCTCTCCAGTGCAAAACTGTGTAAACTGTAAGGAAGGATTATAGAGAGCATCTTTCTCATGCTTTACGTGCAAGAGTTGCTGTGGTCACCAGTAAAGTGTGAGCAGTCAGTGTAAAGCTGCTGCTAAAAGCTGTGAGCAAAGAAGTATGTGAGGTCAGTAGGAATAAAAGGAAGTTGCACCTGTAGGATTTGGTAAGCACATCACAGCCCTCCAACAGAGAATTATGCAAATGTGGGCATAAGGGACCTCTGTGGTCCCAAAGGGCTGTGCTCTGTCTGCTTGCTGTGCCTGGCACAGCATCTGGTTTTGCTGACAAGAGTGATGGACCCCTTTCCATGCTGTGGCAGCAAGTGAGGGAACCTGAGACAGCAGCTGTAAGGAAAGCTTTCTGATTGTTCTGCTGCCACTTTAGTGTGCAGCCCAGTGAACAGAAAGGCAAACCCCACTTCAGCATTCCTGTTAGCAGATGAGTTGTGGTAACAGGGAAATTGGTTGAAACTTCATTAGTCACAAGATAGCAACCTCAACTTCCTCAATGAAGCAGAAGCTGCTTCTGAAAACAAAAAGGGGAATGTACATCAGGGCAGCAAAAGGATCCAGGGCTCACAGGCTGTGTTTCCTCTGATTTAACATGGGACTAAGAAAGGATGGGGGGCAATTCCATTTTAGGTTTTATCAGATTTTTGCCTCTCTGCATAGAGACATAGCTAGAAAATTAGTATGCTTTAAATGAAGCTTTGTATACTTGCATACTGACCTGTGCTGCTGCATGCCAGGCTCCACAGTGACACAGGAGGTACCACAGCCATTTTTAGCACTCTGTCATTAACACTGGTATTGCATTCCACTCATGCATCTCTTCCTGCTGTGTAATGCCCCTCTCCCTGCCCAGATGTACTGGCATTGCAGGCACAAGCCCAACAACTGGGCAGCTTCACACCTCAGGAGCCCCATGAACAGCCCTGGTGTTGGGGTGCATTTGTCCTTCACCAGGCTCATGCTCTCCTGCTTGGGATTGCCTATGCCCTGCTTTCACCCAGTTCCTCAGTACAAGACATCAGCCTAACCCCCTCAGCTCAAAGAAAACCTTTCTTACTGCTTGCAGAGCTATTAAATGTTGTCCGCACCTGCTATTTTGTCTTCCTTTTGTACATAGAAGATCTGAAATAATTATTTATCCATGTCTGTGAAAGCTGTATGCTCAGGATTCATGCTCAGGAGTTCCACACGTGGCTGCTAAGGGAAGGTCTAGCCCATTTAGGAAAAAAGCTTATGTGCATATACAGCCACATAAGAAACTCCAGGTAACTGGGTTGAAAGGCTGCCAAGCCCAGCTGCACAGTGTCGCAGAAGAATGCTCTTTGTGGTGCAGTGCCACTTAAAAGGAATGGGAAATCCTGAAAGGAGAAGCAAAATATGCAACAAGTCTGACATTCAAATACAAGGAGAGCTCAAGAGCTAGAGAACCAGACTTCAGTTGTGCAGCCAGACACAATACGGATATAGAAGAGGACTGAATCATATTAAAAACAAAAATCCATAAATCCTTCAATATTCAAGACTTAATAAGACTCAAAAGACACCATTTTGTCTAAGCCTGTGTTTCTTACAGCTCCTGAATAAAGGCCAGTGCTTTAGCCATACCAGCTACGTGTCTGTGAGCTTCTGTTCACTGCAGGGATGGCAGTAAGCTCCCTAAGGTTCCCTGGCCTGGGCAGCTGACCACAGTGCAAGGGGGGGGCCGAGCAGCAAACTGAAGCACAAACCCAGTGCTGGGGTGAGAGCAGAGCCACAGCAACACCCGAGCAGAAATTACACAGGCAAGTCCAGCAGTTTTGTTAACCATCCCATAAAGAAGCTATACCACACAGCTTGGCTGCAATTATTTTAATGGAAAAGACTAATTAATGTTTTACATAAATATCAATTAGTGATAAGTCAGTTGAGTAAGTAAAGGAATACATACCCCCAAGGTTTAAAGGCTCATAATGAACTGATAAGGTAGCACACAACAACTACAAGGAATTACAGGAGGTGGGCTGCACTTCAATCACTTTCATCAAGTTCAACTGCTAATCAAATTAGGCTATTACTGGAGTTAGTCATAGTACATCTCCCCATGCAACAGAGACATGTTCAAAGGACAAAAGTGAGCTTCAGAAGCACCTTTCTGCTTTCAGTAGAAAGCTCCAACTATTGAAGTACAAACGCCTCTAGGTAGCAGTCCATTGATGTTAAGCCCTTTTGGGGTCCAGTTTCAGGTGTGCAGTGTACCCCTCAGCCCAAAAACTGGAACAAATACACAGGTTGTATCAGACAGCAACGTGTGCGCACATACAGAGGTTGGATCTTGTTAATTTCTACAGCATCCTAAGGAAGTGAAATCATTTTTACTCTTGAGGCAGGCTTCAGCCATAGGGAAAAGGGGAGGCTTTTTAGTCACTAAGTCTGAAGTGAGTAGAAGCTGCAGCAGGAATGATGCAACTTCAGTTTTTCACGCAAACTGACAGGTGTGATCCACATTTCCACCCAACGTTGCTTTCTTTCCTATGAACTCAAAATGTAAAATACCTCCTGAGCTGTATGTCCATGGCTATAGGGAGCAGAATTACTAAACCCCTCACTTTCATACTGATAACAGTAAGAAATTTCACAGCTAAAACATTAAAATTGATCAGATAGTGGGATCTGCAGTTTGCAAAGCCAGTGCTTCCCAATTAAAATAGAAAAAAAAAAAATCCAATCTGAAGAGAAGGAATCTAATTCCCCAAATCTCTGAAGGGCTCAAAAAGTTGCAAACCATGTTACCAACTCTCCTGTCATGCGCCAGGTTCCACAAACTGAGGTATTCAAAATTTAGACTATGCATACTCAGCTGGGAGACACACCAATATAAGACAAGAAAAGAAACCTTTACAATTAGCAACTGCTCAATTAAAAACAATTAATTCCAAGCACAGTCTAAGCTATCTCGCAACCCCAGTAAGCTAGAATCCATCTCGTGTCAAAGCTGTGGCAGCTGAATGTAAATGCAACGTTTTTCTGAAGTGGATGGCAAAAGTGGATGATTCACAGCACCACAGACATGTTGCTTTATGGTTTCAATATACTTCAAGAGAGAGCCCATTGAGGAAGATGCAGGTAATCCCCTAACATACGAATTGACTAACATCTCTATAGTGTCAGATTGCTTATGCTCAGTGGGTTTACATTTCAAAATTAATCATAACAAAAAGACGTATTTTGCACCATAACTCTGTTATATGAATATTTCTTTTTCTGTTATAATTGTAAAAGACAAAGCAGACCCCCAGACACCAAGACGAGAATTCAGCTGGCTGCAGTCACTCAGCTTGATGTGCGTTTCGTCAGCAGGAAGGGGACAACCCCAACGCCTCCAGTTCTTCACATCTAAACAAGTTTAAAACAGGGTTATTCTTTTTGATCTGCGATAAACAGAAAGAAGCACTTTTGGACAAAAGCATTTGTAAGACACTGGGAAAAAAAATCCTACTAAACAATTGCTAGAAGGAGTATCTTGCCTTCTAGGGTTTGATGTGCGCCTGTTAAGAAGAAGGCTTTCCATGAATGTTGAAAACAATTACAGTTATCCCAGGCTCTGGGCAGCCTGGCTTGGTGGTCGGCTACCCTGCACATTGCAGAGGGGCTAGAACTAGATAATCATTGTGGTCCTTTACAACCCAGGCCATTCTATGATTCGATGATTATTTTGACAATGAGGATATGCACAATGTCAAGTGTAAATACATTACCAAAACAAGCAAGAAGTTGCCTAAGCATTTAAACACTAATTGCATGTTTCAGTCACATGTTAGTCACATGGTTAGAAGTTAACAAGCTTTCATCAAGTGTCAGTTTAACTGTTTTACTCAAGAATGTAAGCATCTCTTTTCCTGGCTTGGAATCAAGAGAAGGAATAATGGAGAAGCAGAAGACTCAAGCTGCTAAGATGTTATGTGGGCAGGAAATCTCAACACCGTTAAAGGTTACTTTTGGAGAACTCTGAAGATGAAAGCCACTGCCTTTTCTATTTGGTACCTAAGCTACATTTAGGTGCAGATATCCTAACACAGTCAGTGCACCCTACCTGCAGAGTGGTGCGACACAGCCATTTCTCGTTATCTCCATTGAGTTTCATACAGGCAAACAGGTCGCAAACCGTAGGAAGGCCAAACTCCTGGAAAAATCACCACCTTCATTAATGTCAGCTAAACATTCTGATGCATCTTCAAAGTCTGTCAAGTGCTCATAAAGAAAAAAAACCTGTATCCTGAATCTCTAAGATGAAGACTACTTGTATTTAAAAATTAACTCTTGCTGCATGTGAAGCATTGGCCCAGTCTACTGAAATAACTGAGTAGCTATCTCTGAAGACATTAAGAGAGCTAAAAAACCTAAAAACTATCAGCCAATATCATACAGAAGAGTTATGAATTCAGAAAAAAAGATAGGCATAAAGCTGTTAAACTAGAAACTCATCCCATTGGCTTAAAACACAGCAGTAACAAACAGCTATGAATATGCTTACTTGTGCTTTCTTGTGTAGGAGCCATTTATCTTCCACTGGAGGCGGGTTATCATTTTCTAGGTTGTTTGAAGCCAACACCCAACTGCTTACGTTCAAGGGGCGGTGGAATGGAGCCAAGAGGTCCACAAAGGGACTTCTGGAACTACTATTTACTTTCTCTCTGCTTGCCTTTTCATCTGCACTTTCTGCTTTGTGCTCAGACTTGGCTAGCCAGCTTGTCAGAGGCCTTTCAAGCAGTACTTTGAAGGGTTCTGCTATCTCTGCTGAATAATCCACTTTCTCGGCGCTAACAGGTTCCCCTGAGAGCTGCTGTGAAGGGTTAAGCCAGGAACTGACAAGAGACTTGGTCTTCTCATGCTCTAGGTTTGGTACAGCTTTCTGGCTTACCGGAACTCCATTTTTATCCTTCCCTTCTTTCTTCAGAAGCCATTTACACAGAGCCTCTTTTCCACAGTTTTCATCACACACACACTCTGAGAAGCTGCTACACAGCTCATTAGCTTTGCACACATCTTCCATTTTAAAAGGGGCCTGAGGGTGCTGAAGAAGCCAGGCATTTACAGCAGATGTAGTGGGTAACTTCTTTCCATCAAGATGCTCATTCAGGCACTTCAGATTTCCCAGGTTCTCAATTTCCACGCTTTTGATCTGGCTGCCACGACAACTGGTGCATGTTTCAGCTTTGAGGAGCCAATCGTTGCAATTAAATTCTTCCCTAAAAGGTTTAAATTCATACTTCCATTTCTCATCTGAAGCACCACCTCCGTTTTCCACGCCAGGTGTAAGCAGCCAGTCAGAAAGGTCCACCTCCTCTTGCACAAGGGATTCCAATTCCTCCACCTTATTTTCCATGGAAAAGGACGAGTTGGAAGTCAAGGTGGAGTTCTTGTGACCAGGCCCATCTGTCTTCCCAGCAACATCATGCTGTTGATTGCGCAGGAGCCAGTTTTCCAAATCTTTCAAGTTTCCCCAGGCTTTCTCAAAATAGCAGACTTTGGAAGAGCTTAAATCCTAGTAAAGACATTGAAATACAGTTACTGACACTAAAAAGCAATGTTTCAATAACTGTTTGCATAGTCATCGCTTTAAAACTACAGAAGATTTAAATTCCACCACATTCCACCCGCAACCACTCTCTCCTTACAAGGTCAGTGCATTCATGGCATACCTGGCTGGGTTCTGACACAGATTTCTGGGTAACCCATTCCTCAAGATTGGTGCTGGGAACATATGGAGCCCGGCAAACATCCACAGGTCTGCTTCCAAGCAACCAGTCAGCAAGCGAGGCGCCCACTGTCCCACACAGTGTTTTCTGCTGATTAAAAAAACATTGTTAGTTATCAAGTTGTCTAATTGCTGAAGCAATCGAAGGTGAACATCAAAATGAACATTCAGTACATGTCAGAATTTCTGAACCAGTATTTATTCTAGTTAGAAAAGCAGATCTTCAGTCATCGGTATGACTTCAAGCCACTGTATCAGCTGTTTTGTGATACAAGATTGTTCAGAGAGCAAAAGACAACAAAGGGAAGTGACAGCTTCTAGAACGTATAATCTAGTCATAACCCCCTAAATTTGACCACACTTCCATCTTTAATTTGCTGTCCTCCAAATCTTCACTGGCTCCTTGACATCTTCACTGGCCCAGCATCTTGTTTCCCATGAACTCCTGGATTAAAACAAATTACATAGCTCCCAGTCCTGACCTGACAACATAAAGGACCGTTCATTTAAGACATCTGGCTGACAGTCCAATTCCAACTTCACTTCCCTACTATCTTCTTGCACATCTATTCATGGAGCAGCTAGAACACCAGATCACTAATGCTGAGCACAGCAGCTGCTACTGGCCACTCAAATATCTTCACAAACAGAAACCACTCCTCAAGCAGGCTAACACACTATGCTGGAGTTCTCCTTTTACCACTGATACAGCTAAATATCAACAGATGTGAGTACTAATCTTACCTGCTCACAGTTTGTTAGGGCACAATTCTGCCCTGGGAACCAAGGAGAAGTATTCTCTCTCTCTGAGGTTTGCTATAAGAAGAGAGAAAAAATTCAGTTTATATCTCAGTTTTTTTCAGTTCCTAAGAAGCAGCAGCAAAGTGCAGTTACAACTGATCCAATCTTAAAAGCCAACAATTTTCAATATTCAGAACACAATAAAGATTTGCAATAAAAACACTAGTTCCATTCCACTGCCTTTAAGAGAATGATCTCCAATAATATAAAAGATACACTGCTTACATAAGAATCCCAGAATACTTCTACAGCATAGATACCTTCCCACAATGTAAGACTGTCCTTTAGATGCTCACAGTTAACATTAATTTTTCAGTTGCTGGAAAAGAGTAGGAATACAACCAAAGTAACATAATATATAACTAGATCTAAGTTCAGACAAAATCAGAGGTAAGTGCAATAATTAATAAGCCATTGTCTAAATACTAAACAAGTAGAACTGTGTGACTTGTACACAAGAGTTATTCAAGCTCTAACTATATATACACTGACTTTAAGTATTGTGATTCAGTTAAGTCTCAATGCTTACCATTGTTTTAATTGAACCAAATGAGGTAATAGCCTGGCGAAGGTACGACGTGTCAGCCTCAAAATTCAGAACAGAAGACTCCTCTGGTTTAAGAGTGAGACTTTCCAGTCTGAAAGAGTTAAGGTGAGAGTTACTGACTTATTTTTTTAATTGTAATCTTCTACATCTGTCCTGTTTTGGGAACTGACAAGGCAATAATTAACAAAAATGAAAGATTTTTACTGCTCATACAAGAATAAGGAGATGTAAATTCACAAACTAGATAAAAGTAACCAGCAAAACACAAGTTCTTCCTTCTCACTTCAATTGCCATCACCAATTAAAATCAGAAATCTGCATAAATGAGTGCACACACTGCTTTTTATAGTCTTGCTTTGTTTGTTTTCTTCCAATCTAAGATGAAGATGAGAAGAATCATATTTCAGAGTGCTTTAAAGACCTTGCCCCTATGAACTACTAAAATGAAAAAAACGATGACTCAGGTTTATTATTAGTTCCTTCTAGAATCACAAATGGGGTTAAATTTGTAAGTCAAAACGAATACCAGTTGTGTTAGCTTGCATCGTAATCAATATTTACCTCTCCAGGCAAACTGAAATCTGGTTTGCTAGTTCGTTATTGTAGGAGTGTTCCAGCTGATGAATAAGGCAATTGAATTGTCCCAAGTACTGCGTGGAAAACAAAACACTCGTTATTGTTTGGGCTTCTCAGGTTAAAACTAAGAAAATAACTGCAAAGATGCAGTTCATTTTAAAATCCCAGTGCAAGAAAATGAACGTGCAACCATCTCTTACCCAATAGAGCTGCTGAGCTTGCTGCTGCAACGCCTCCTCCTTCAGCTGCTGAATGAGATCTACCTGCTCAAACAGCCACACCTCACGGCTGCGCAGGCATTCCAGCTGGCGACTGATGTGGCTGTGAATCTTGGCTTTAACCTGCAAGGTAACATTTTCCATTTTTGTTGTAGCTGTCAAACAGTACCAAGGAGCATATGCTGCGCAGATTACAAAATAATATTTCTCAATCAGAAGTGGTATTTTTGTACCAATTTATTCCTCAAGGTCTAAACCACAGTAACCCACAACACCGCCTGAGTCACAAGTCAGTGCAAGTTTCCAAGCTGCCTCTAAAGGATTATCAAATAGCGAGCGGTGTTATTCACAACATCTCTCTACTCAGATACTTCAGCCAAAAGCTTAAAAAAATTCTGCATGCCTAGGCTAGCAGTACAGAACAACTTCACCAAAAGCATGCCTAGGTTACAGGCCGAGATACTTGCCCATCTCTTGGAAAACTTCAGACCATCCTCCCAACAGAAAGTACTCTGGAATGATTTAAACTGTCAGTGAAGTCACATTAGTTATTAATGCATTTTTAAGAAATGAAAAATTACCTCTCGCCAGTTCTCTTTAATCTGCTGCTCGGCTTTGACAATTCCAGAGATAGCTGTTTCCAAGTCCTTCCTCGCCTGAAGGCACTTCGCCAGCGTTTCACTGCTGCAAGAGCTCCTATTTCTGTCTTGTGGCAGACTCATTCTTAGCGTGTTCCTAAAGCACAATAATCAATTCTTAGAAGTTTCCTTAAGGAAAGAGGAAGGGCATCCTATGAAGAACCACCTGCACTACTTCGCTATTGAAGTGAAAAACCAAGCCTGAGACTCCACAGCGGCAAAGTCTTCTGAGCCGAAATGAAGCTCTCTCCAGGGGCAACAGCAGACTCTGGAATGCTTCGGCCCACGGAATTTATGCAACCGCAGGAAAAACAACAGATATTTGACAACCGGCTCAACCACAGGAGCTTAGGCAATCCTCCCTGCTGCTCACGTGCCCCTGGCATTTCTGTCTAGCCAGCAAACTCCAGCAGCTGGGAGCTGATCCCAGCAGAGCCACCGGGGAAGGGAAGAACAGCCTGCAAATGCCATTCTGTCCTTGTCCTGACACAGCCTGGCTCACCACAGCTGCTGTTCCTCACCTCGCTAACGCACTCCTCACAACATCCCTTAGATTTTCCCTTAAAATCAACCATCCGTAGAGCCTGCGGCTCCCTGAGACGCTTCCTTTAAATGCAGCCCGACCGTAAGCCCTCCACTTATTTTCTTTTTCCACCCTTGCAAGCACCTTTCAGTTCCCCAGGCAAACCAACCAACCAACCAACGCAGCTGTCTCTCAGCCCTCTCGCCCAGGAGCCTTCTTACCACGCGAGCCGAACCACCGCACGCCCGCCAGCTGAGCCCCCCGCCACAGCCGCCCCACAGCCGCCGCCGCTCGAGGCTCCCCTCAAGGCGCGCACAAAGAGCGGCAGACGCCGCCTTCCCGCACGGCGCCGGGCGGCCCTCGCAAAATGGCTGTTCTGCTCCGACAGAAATCACGCAGCCGAGGCGTCGCTGAATTACCGGAAAGGTCTGATGGCTCTTTTTCTCTTCCCTCGGCCCCTTAAATAAACACACGCCGTAAGGACGCCCGTCCCCGCCGCCCGAGCGGGAGGCACCGCAGGGCTGGGCTGGGCAGCGCCGCGCCTTATCGCCACGGACCGGGCGCCTCGGCGAGGGCGTGGGAGCCGCGCTTGGGGAAGAAGGACCGGATGAACCACAGAAATGCCCGTTCGCACCCAAAAATAAACCGACAGCGGCACCGGCTCCGCCGACAGAACCCCCGCAGGGCTCCACCCGGAGGTGGAAGGCACCATTTCCATGCAGAAATCACAAAGCGACAGGGCAAGGCGTTCCGCGCCACAGCTGCCCCCCGCACCGCGCTCCCCGAGCCGCCATCAGCAGCCGGCGGCACCGCAGGGCGCGCTGCGCACCGAGGAAGCGGCATCCGGCGGTGCCCGCGCGCAGCCCCCACTCACCGTGCGCTCCCCGTGCTGCCGGCGCGGCGCTCTGCGCTCAGCACAGCGGCGCTGCGGCTGCCGGGAGATGAACGGCCGCTCTCGCGAGACCGCCGCCCCGAGCGCCGCCTGGCGGCACGGAGGAACGGCTGCGCCGTCGGGGCGCGCTGGGGTCATAGCGGCACGGAGCGACGGAGGTCGGAAAAGGTCTCTAAGGAGAGCGGGGCGGGGGATGACGAAGATGATGAAGGGCACCGAACGCCTCGTGTGTGAGGAAAGGCTGAGGGACCTGGGTCCGCGCAGCCTGGAGAATCATAGAATGGCCTGGGTTGAAAAGGACCACAATGCTCATCCAGTTCCAACCCCCTGCTATGTGCAGGTCGCCAACCAGCAGACCAGGCTGCCCAGAGCCACATCCAGCCTGGCCTTGCATGCCTGCAGGGATGAGGCATCCACAGCCTCCTTGGGCAGCCTGCTCCACTGCGTCACCACCACCTGCATGAAAAACTTCCTCGTAATATCCAACCTAAACCTCCCCTGGCTCAGGAGAAGAGCAGGCTGAGAGAATATTCGGTCAGCATTTATAAATATCTAAAGTGCAGGAGGCAATTGGACGAGACCAGACTCCTTTTAGTGGTGCGTCACAGTCTAACACACCTCACAGTGTAATTTACCCCATACAAGGCAGCACATCACTGTTTAAAAGGGAAAGCGACGCTGTCAGCAGTGCAGCACAGGCAGACTCAGCCTGGTGCCCTGACGGGACAGCCGAGCCCTCTCCCAGCCATGCCCTGTACGAGGCAGCAGTGCCAAAGCACAGCCTGCAGTTAAAGCCATCACTGCAGGCGTCAGGGAAATGGCACACTGCCTGCAGGACAGCCACTATCAGGTTCTCGCTTGGAAACAGGCCATTTTCCCTTCGTCTCCATGACCCTGCAGCTCGCCCTCCCATGCACACACCTCCTCTGACGTCTGCCCTTGGTCCCCTTCCAGACAGGCCATGACCCGGCATTCAGTCCCACAGCTGCTGCCAGCCCTGTCCCTGCCCCCCCAGCTTGTCCTGCTGGGCCCGGCCAGGCCCAGAACACAGCTGGCGACGCTCCACAGCCTTCGCTTCATGGCCCCACAGCAGATTTCCAAAGCTCTCTGTGCTGGTTTTGCTCACAGTCTTTGCTTTCCATGGTGAACTACCTCAGTGCCAGAGATAAGCCAAATGCTTTGAACTCCCATGCAGACCCTTTCATATACTGTACACAGATGTTCAGATGACCTTTCCCTGCACCTCGTACTGTACTTTTAACTTTCTTTAGTTTAAGAATCTCACTTGTGCAAACTTTAGCCTATTCTACTTTGCATGAAATGAAGAACAGATTGTACCAAACTCCATACTTGCCTGTCATGTACAGATGTTCCCAGAAAGGTTCTCTGCAGGAAGTCTAACAAAAGGCAGAACTTACTTGGACGCAACGTGCTGTACTGAGAACCCAATGTCTGTGGTAGGTGTTCAACAGAGAAATGCACAAATCTGTTACTTGTTCTGGTCCAAACCTATCAGTGCAAAACCACAACAACTGAGGTTTTAACCAAGGACATGTCATCTATGAGTAGGACAGACAAAAGGAACAGATTAACTTTTGATAATAGAAGTGCACAATAGGAGTTACTAGAGAAAAGTATTTGTGTATTTTATTTACATACTTCTTCATGTATGCAATGAAAGTATTAGAATGGAATAAGCTCTGCAAAGACATTTTGGTAAGCACATGCCCAAGTACTCATCAGTTGTTCATCAGTTCATCAGTACAGCATCTTCTGCATAACACATGCCTGGAAAATGTGTCCCACACATCTCTAAAGCAAAACTGCAGGCATGCCCATTTTAATCCTCACTCAACTTTTTCTGTTTTTTTTTTTTTTTCTTCTTTTTTTCCCAATTCGTTTTTCTCTGTCCTGAAACCTGCCAAAGCTTTAGCTGGCAGATGCAGCTCAAAGAGTGAATGCTTTGCATGCACGTGTACTTTTGCAGAAACAGAAAGTTCTTTAATGACCATTAATTGCATGTCTTCCCCCTTTCCAAGTGAAAAGCAGGCCTTGTTCAGATATGATGGATACACACTGCAACACACATATGCTTTACAAAGGAGAGGAATTTACAAAGGAGTGTACATTTTGTAGGATACAATAGGCTTGACAATGTCTTCAAGGTAAGCAGGAGTAACCCAAAGCTAGACAAGAATTTGCCAACATGATGAGTTATTTGTCTCTAACTGTTATATTGGCTTCAACAGCAGCCTCTTCCAAGGCAGCACTATTCCTGAAGAACTGCCATAAAGGCTGTGCATACTTGTAATCAACTTGCCAAGGCCAAGAGTGTGGCTTTACTTCATTGCCTGATACAATTCTCTCTGTGGCCTTTGGCTGAAATAAGCAAAGTCACGTCCCAACAGTGATTCACTGATCTCAGACTCAGTGGAGCAATCACAGAATCGTAGGGGCTGGAAGGGACCTCCGGAGATCACCGAGACCAACCCACTGCAAAGCAGGCTCCTTCAGCAGGCTGCACAGGTAGGCATCCAGATGGACCCATATCTCCAAAGGAGACCCCACAACCTCTCTGGACAGCCCATTCCAGTGCTCTGTCACCCTCACCATGAAGAAGTTCCTTTGCATATTGGTGCAGAACTTCCTATGCTCAAGTTTAACCAGAAATTCTATGCAACTTCCTGCATATACTACACAGTCAAATTCTTTTAATAACTGCCTGATACACTTCAGCTGTTAAAAATGCTGCAAATTTAACAAGTCATAATGTCAGTGGAAAAGCTTACCATGCAAGTGTAGGCAGAGCTCACTGTTCACATTTCAGACATCTGTGGTTTCCTGAAGAGCTGGATTTGGGATTGAAAGCCCTCATGCCTCCCACCTTGCAACTGACTGGTTCAGGGGACAGGGCAGGACAGCAGCTTTCTGTTTGGCTGCTTTGAGGCCAGTTCAGATGCAGGCTCAGGGAGAGCAGTCAGACTTGTGTCCAGTTACTGAACACCACATTTTCAGTGGCTTCCAGACATCGTCTCTGAAAAAATGTGCAGTTTCAAAGACTCTGCATCTGGATTAGAAATATAAAAAACAATGAAGAAAGAAACAAATAAAAAGTATTCCTGCACAATGTATTTCTCCATTCATAGCCTTCCGCTTGACATGGGAGAGTTGGAAGGATGGCTGTTATTAATCATCTTCTGCAGAAGACAGACGTGTGGACAGGGTAGAAGCCTCCAATTTTAATAACCCCACTTGAGAGAAGTCTTTGTGTCCACATAAAGGCATCAAATACCCAGATAATATATAAATACCCATAATAATGAGAGAAATAACAAAATCTTAAATGAGAACCTAAGGAGGAGAAAACCCAAAGTGCCCTGAACAGCCAGACCCAGAAAAGGAAGTGGCTCTCAGTGCAGGCTTGAGGCACAAGAGCTGCTTTATTGGACAACTATGCACTGTTATGGCTCTAGCAATTGCTTTACTTGATGTGAGAAGTGAGTTGTTGAACAACAGCCAGACATCATGCAATCAGAACAGGTCTCTTTGCTTATTTACAACCACTTATCTTTTTTCAAGGTCCTTTCTAAGAAAGCAAATACAGCAGCACAGCACTAAATTAACCATGACTCTCCTAGAGTGAAGTTAAGGCTGAAAAATCATTGAGATTTGGCAAATACAAACCACTGGAAAAAAAAAAAAAAAAAGAAATGAGCAATATAAAGCATAAAGCTAATTTGATGTATAGGCTTTTCGAATCTTGAATTCTCTGAGGCAATAGCATTTGTAGGGTTTTCCAAACAGCACAATCACAAGGCAGCTTTAAAATTCCGTGCGTGCAGGGATTTCAGCCCAGTGCCAGTGTGGGGGGTGAAGAAACCCGAGCACAGCCAGTGCCAGCAGCAGGGCAAGTAAATTACTTGCAATCGGTGGAAAGTGCAAAAAGAGAAGGGACTGACTCTTTCTGCATGTGTCATTACTGAGGGTGATGTGTGTGTGGCAGGGGAAGCCCAATAATGCCCGCTCCTGCTGTCAGGGCAGATCACAGCACCCAAGCCCAGATGGTTCTGCCTGCTCAGCACGCAACAAAAAGCTGCTTGTCAGCTGTTTTGCACCGGAAGGCACAAACAAAAGGGTATTTTTGCAAGGTTCGCTGCACAGGGAGCTGTGAACACATCTCTGCTTTACAGTTACACTTGTAGGAGCAGGAATCAGAAAACAAAGGAGAGAAAGAGCAGTGCCGGGCGGCACGCCATCTGCTGAGCGCCAGGTGGAGCTCAGAGATGTGCTCTGGGAGCAGCAGCCCTGTGCTTTAGATCATGGGAGTCTCTTGACCCAGATTCACTAAATGACACTGCCTTCAGCTGTGTGCAGGACAAATCCCTCCTTTGCTACGCAGCTGAGCCGCATACATGGCACTGTCATTGGAGCAGGTGAGCTGGAGGTGGTTGGCATGAAACAGAGGTTTGGCTGTCATTTCCTCGCTTAGGTTCTCTATGTTTTCTAAGCTTCCTTCTCATGCTGCCTGAGTGGCAGAGCCGTAGTATGCTGAAAGGGTGCTAATAAGATAGATGACATCTGTTTAGGTCACACATTAGATAGGATTAATGATTCTAAAGACTTTCAAGCTACAGCTTAGTGCTCTGCGATCTGAACACGTTGGTCCTTGGACATGTGATGGCTCAAGACCAGAGAGTGAGAAGAGTGGAAGCGGACACCCAAGTGACCACCAAAAGGATATACACCCAATTCCATTCTCTGACACAGTCTGCCAACCACAGCAGACTGGGTGCTTAGTCCTGCGTTGGGACTTCACATAGTTCAGCTGCTTTCCAAGGACCCTTCCTCTGTGCACAGCAGCACTGTTTTTGCGTGCCACAGGGCTGCTGCCCAGCGAAATGGGTATGCTCGTTTCAGCTTGCAGAAGTGAAAAAGCACATCCCACTTTTATAATGGGCAGAATTTTTGGCTGCAAGTTTCTATTTGAATGAGAAAAGGAACAACGCTGCTGCTAACCCACGCAACTTACCCATCTCTTGCCCTTCACAAACCACACAGCTGTATAGAACTGGCCCCTTCAGAGGGGCAGGAGAGTGGGATCCCACAGACTCCAAGCTCACTCGAAAGCAGCCATGCCCCGTCCCTCACCCTACACGCAGCACTTGCAGAATGAGCAGGCCTGGGCTCTACCCAGAAGCTCACAGGTATTAGTCTCCTTATTTGCAGGGGGTCAGCTGGATCTTGTGACCTATTTAAATAACAAGGCTTTGGGAGGGAGCTCAATAGGCATGCTGTGTTCATCATTTCAGACAGTTCTGAATAGAGCTAAAAGAAAGCTTAGACACCAAAACTCTTCTCTTGTAGAGTTCTTAGGTCTCCTAAAAGGGGAAGACACAACTGGCCAATGCAGCAAGTTATACCTGGTTATTTAACTGGTGTGGTGGGAGTTGATTAGAATGACTAATTTCCATCTCAAATCCACATGCTGCCACCCTCTATCTTGCCAATTAACAGTATTACTTAGTACTAATAGACTGCTTTCATTTTCCAGGGGCTTAAGACGACAAATCAATCACCTCAGCATGTCTGAAAGGAACAGATGGCAATGAAGTATTAACGTTGCAATTTCACAGTTGGAAAAGCCCCCCCAGAGAGGGAGGTAGAAGCGTCCAGAGGGCATCTGGCCCTTCTACTTGTCTGGGGCCGGGATTCCTGTGTCTTGTCTCTGCTCAGGAATTCTGCTCTACTGCAACCTCATCACACACTGCTTTTCCTAAACAAAGCTACACTGTTTGTATTATTCCATTTTTAATAAGGAGTAACATCCTTCCAGAAGGCCTCTTACCTCAGCATGTCTCCAGACAGGTCATTACTGCTTTGGATTTAAAAGACTAAATGTCTATCCAATAATGCAATTAGCCCAGCTTGCCATTATTTCTTAGCAGAGAAGTGATCAGGAAGAAATACATTACCCAGTCTGTACAGTGGAGATGCCTTTTTTCCTCTGAAACATCTGCAGTTACCTCTGAGCACAGAACATGTGATTGCACTTTCCTCCCACTCACACCAGTAGTCTCAGAGGACCACGTGCAACATCATTCCAAGGAGATTTTTGGCTCAGCAGTGCAGCAAACCATTTCTTAAGCTATGCCTAGAAGTGAAGAGAAGCTTATTCCAGGGCAGGCATTCCTAAAGAAACAGGGAAAAGGAAGGGTGAGATCAGGATTTAGGCTGTAGCAACTGAAAGGTCTCTTCCAGCAGCATGAAGCCAAAGGCAAACTGACACTTTCCAGAGAGAAACATACAAATAAATACAATGAATTTAGAACTAAATGATACGACCTTGACTAAGCAACTCTTTGTTTTTGCTGTTTGACTGAAATTTAGAAGGTTTTTATTTAAAACAGAGAAAATAATCTCGAGAAAATAATACACTCAGATTTTACTCTTTCTTGACAGGCATCCCACTCAGCTATAAATCTATTGCAAATTCTCTTTCTACTTTATGTCAAAGTAAAATGTAATGGATTTGGATTTTCATAAGTTAGAAAGCATTCAAAAACAGAGATATAATTGTCACGTTTACAGGAGAAACACTTGAAGAGAGGTCTAACATGAAGAATACTTAATGTACACTGACTGTATTTAAATTGGAAAAAATGTAGTGGACCCAAATTCCTCTTAAGAGGCATTCATCACACAAACAGAACATTTTAGCCATAAAGTTAACATTCAGATGAGCAGTATTTTCTTCTAAATCTCCACTAATAAGTCTCGTATTTTAAAAATTTTCAAAGGCATAGAAAATCCTTAGATACAAACTCTATTTTTGTTACCAACAGCTTTCTTGACAAGTCTTTCAGTTCCAACAGGTTCTGCACTGTGGTATACTGAAGTTTTCAGTGGGATTTTTTTAAAATTGTTTTTTGGGAAAAAGGAAATCTTGAAGCTGCCCATGTGACCAAGGCACTCAGAAGGAACAATCTTAGTTTTAGCTGTACTTTGGTAAAGACACGAAGTCTCACTTCCAGCAGACAGCTGACATCAGAGCAGACAGGGAACACAAGACAGGCGAAGATGAGATGCAAACTGTTCTCTGTGGTTCATGCCACAACAAAACTACCACTGTTCAGGATAGATGCACATAAAAAGAGCTTGATGGAAATTATTTTTAATATAAGAAACCCCAAACCGCTTATGATTTGTAGCGTATAATCATGTGACAGACTAATATGAACAGCTTTTGTTTCAGAAAACAAGCACTCAATAAGTAATTCACATAACGTGAGTCATCTTTGGTAATACTTTACATCTGTGTTAGTAAACATCACATCTGCACGTTCAGATTGTAATTCGTAATAACTACATGAAAGTTGCAGGAGCATCCTCCAACCACACCAGCTTGCAAAGGGATGAGTTCTGGCTAGTAATACTGAAATTACATGGCAGAATTACATAGCAAAAGTTACAATTATTTGTAATATAGTATTACACTAGTTTCTCATTTTATCTACAGCTCAAGTGGGTTTATAGTCAGCATTAGCATAAATTAACAGCAAAACGAATCCCAAAACTTAGGGAGTAGGGTGGAAAGCTAAGAATTTATATTAAAGCATCATTTTCTAACTTTGTTTCCTAGCCCTAAATCGTGAAAATACTGAAAAATTCAACATTATTTTAAAAAGATGCATCATTTATAAAATAAGTCTAATTCCTTAAAATACGATGTAAAATTAACACAGAAGAATAAGAGTGCTACATTAAATACAGTCAACACAATCTGATGGCATGACGAAGATACAACCAGTATGTCCTTTGTTACATGGCCCAACTGTGGGTTTTTCCATGCTTTGCTTTTTGATGGCCACTGAACTTTTCCCACTTATCCGTAAGCGGATTGCCCATGTGTTAACACTTGAGAGACAGCATTTATTTACAATTGAGAAAACAAAGAAACAAAAAACCCCAACATGGCTGTGGCTGTCCTAGAGCTACGCTCACTCCATTGCAGTACTCGATCGAGCACAACAGCTCGGATATCTCAGAGAATGCATCATTGTTCTGAACGGTCTTTTCTTCCCCATTTTGTCAGAAGACAGCTCCTTGTTGAAAGGATCCTCCTCATTTTTCCCAGTCTGTTGAACAGGCTCTGTCTGGAATTGTTCTATTTGAATCTCAAGATGTTTTTGAATGGCTAAACCAAGGACTTCTGGATCCACAGATGCCCCATACACTTCCCATGTCATTCCTTCATCATCCCATCTCACTTCCCGTACCGGAGACTTGGGGGCCTCCAAGTCTTGCTCCAGGTTCACCTCTGGGAACACATGTGAGTGGCCTTCTGCTGCAGCCGCTGGGCTTGTTGCAACAGATTTGCATTCCATGGTTGGAAGAGTTTGTACCTCGGCATCTCTGCGTTCAAGAGCCGGTTTCAGTCCCTTGGTTAAATCATTTGCAGAGGTCATAGTCCACATATCTTTAGTTTTCATTGCTACGTCTGTTGTTAGCTGGCTGCTAAGAGCAACATGAACAGTCTGTGTTTCTGGAGAAGCTCTCTCCTGCTGAGCGCAGCGTTGAGCATGTTGTAGTTGTTCTCCAGGAATGCTACAGCACTTCAGGACTCTCTTGGCATCCAGGCCCGACTCACTTACTGAAGACACAAGCTTAGGATAGGTCAGAATGTCTGAAGTGGAAAAGGAATGAAGATAGTCAGGTGCTGCTTGCTCTTTTCCCGACTCGCTAACTGAGCATACCAATCGCGGAACAAGCTGTATAGATGGTATGGGCAAAGAATGGCAATAGGCAGGGACAGTGCCATCTACTTTCATACAAGGGTCCTGCCTTATATTACAGGGCACTGCAGAATTGTTATGAACTGTCATCACCATTGGTGAATATGCAGAGTTTGGAATATTACTGTAAGTCAGACCACCATGAATAATTCCGGTGGCTTGACTGAGCATTGTCCTGTTGGAGAAACCATTTCCAGGCATGTGGGGTCCTAGAACAGCACTGTGAAATCTTCCAGGATCAGTATAAACAGTCGTATTATGTGGAATACCCCCACTGTCAAAGGTGTTTGTGGGTACTTTCTGGTCTACAGGTAGAGCTGGAAGATGAGTCACAAGGTTTTGATAGTGAGTATTTTCATTTATTTCTGATCCATATCTTTCTGCTTGGAAAGACATCCTCACCACTGATGGACCATGCCTGCTGCTAGAAGAGCTAAGGCTGGAATCAGTAGCACTGGTTTCTATGTGAGAGATGTAGCTCTGCTGTCTGCAACTGCAGGTTAGGTCTGAGTGGCTTCTCTGGAGAGCAGCTCTCGGTTCATCCATTTTACCCATGCTTTGCTGGTGCTTAAAACAGTCTGAAGAAACATTCTCAACAGTACTGCTCTTTACACACATCTTAGTGTCATCCACTTCCCAGGATGCCGGGGACTGTTCAATGATAAGAAAATGGTTTGTAGTCTTAGTTCTGCTCTGTGAATTGTTACTGGGTGACTGACTGTTCATGGTCTGGACCACCGATTCAAGTCCCATCAACCCAGACTGTGAGAAGGACCACCTAGGACTTGGTACACTTCTGGCATCGCTCTCATGTCCCAGGGTTTGGCAGACAGTGCTGCTGTGGCTTTTCTTAAGCTCCTGTTTGTTGCTTTGCCATTCCAAACTTGAATGCCCAGCACAAATGAGACTCGAGGAGCTCTTTGACAAGGGGTGACTGTTGACATTCAAGAGACCGTGAGAAGTAGAACTTAGCGTGTCCTTGTGGGAATGAGTGTGGAGCTGGTGGCTGTCAGCTGACATGGCAAAAGGGAGAGATCTGCAAGAAATGGGGGGGGAGAAAAAGAAGCAATTTGAGAAGGTAATATAGAAAAGTTCTCCATGTGTTCTACTTATTAACAATACTCATCTAAACAACCTCAAGTACTATCTCCACAGCATTTAGGAAAGTTCACTCATAAGACCAAGAGACCAAAGAGGTCAAGGCTGCACGCTCAGACCTCTCAGTGAGAAGCTTCTCATGTGATATTTACAGCCTCAAAGAGTCATCTGCCAATGTAACTGATAAAGAGCATGCTTTTTGCTGCATCTGCCAACCAAGAGCTCTGCTTTTGATCCAAACAGACATCACTGCTTACGCTTGTAATTCCATTTTCAATGTTAACTTCGGTAAGCTTGCAACATTGCCATCACTTGAAATTCACCTGCATTGCCTATTTTTCCGTAATGAAATTACACTGAACAAGACAACATTTAAAATACTATTATTTGGAATCACATCTCTGAGAGGTGTCATGCTGAGTGCTTTGCAGTACGGACTTACAATTGGCAGCAATATCCTTTAGCATGAAGATCTGCTCAAATTTGGACAAAATTGCATGCCAAAAAATTCATTCATGCTTGGTGAGTTAGCAATTAAACTAATTATAGGCTCCAACTGCAGCAAGCCCACTCTGTACAGCACGCAACCTCTCTGGCCTGTGGGACTCCACTGACTGCTGGCATCCAAGGATAACAACACAAGCATACTTCCTTCTGCAAATGAAATTTCAGACTCCTGGGGCTAAAGGCACTGCCAAGTGCAGCCTCGACATTGCTCTATTTCTAAGAGTTTTTCAGAAGCCCTCACAAAATCACGCTCAACACTTAGAAGAAAAGCACGTGCTGGGAAAGGGACAGGTTTAAAATACTTCCCTCATCTCCTCCTCCAGAATGTTATCTATCCTGCAGCCACTTATACCTATGGGTATAGTCTGCCACAAAGAGTTCAAAGGAGTTAATAGGATTAAACACCAGAGCATAGCAGTCTGCAAGGCGAAGACCTTATATTTAATCTCTTTACAAGTCAACACCTGCAAAGGCTCTCACACACATTGGGATGAAATGATATTTACTAATGGAAATCCTGTCAGAAATATTCAGTCTCAAATGAAAGAGAACCTCAAACAGACATGGTGTAAAAGTGCTACGTGGCTGTGGAAGCTTTCAAGAGCTCTCTCAGAAAGTTCACAAGGCTCAAATATGTATATATATACACAGATACGAAGATCTCTGTATGCCTTCTTTATGCAACATTTCTGCAGGAATCTGTGTAACCAGAGGTGTTGCAAATTTCAGTTTGATTCATGATCTAAACGAAGAGCAGCGACACATTCACTAGAATGAAATGGACCTGACATCACTGGAAAGAATACCCAGCATGATGTTCAAAATGAAACTTACAAAGAGAACACTTTAGGAGGCTTTTTTTTTGTCCCACCCATATAGACTCCAACTGCAGCTGAAATCATAACCAAACATGGGACCTTAAAAACCAAAGACCTTAAAGAGAATGGGAAGAAAAAACAAAACAAAAGGCTAAGAAAGAATTCAAAGCTCTGTCCAGAGAAGATGAATCGTCTTTCTTCAGAACAATACACTTCTCTACCATGTTGAAATCCAAAGTCACATTTTCACAAGCAGCTCAAACGCTTCCCCATTTATAAGGCCACCTTTTGCTTCCCCCCTCACTCCCTTGGAGCTATGAGCTCCAACACATTACTACCGGGCAGAGCCTTGAGCCAGATGTGCACCCATGGAGCTCTGTGAGGAGGTGATGGGTGCAGAACAAATGTCTGGTAGGTCTGGCCTTTGCTGACCTCTGCTGCAGCAGAATGTTCCCACTACATTTTGCAATAGCATGAGTGAGCACACAGCTGTGTCAAACTGCGTCAGCTTGCTGACCCAGATTTTTTTTTTCCTCCTTTTGTTAACTGGCTTAGCACTCACTACACCAGATCATCAATCCAGCTGAGCATCCAGCCCCATCAATTGCTAACATCAGCACAGGGAGGAAGCAGAAAAAGACCATGCACTCTACAAAAACAGACCTGTGGCATAAGCTCCGAGCAAAGCAGTGCACACGCAGTGCTTTTCTTCCAAAGACTTTGGCATTGACATACAGTGTCATTCTCACCTTCTCAAACATCCTCCTTTCTACGTGTCCACAGCTGGAACTGACACCCCAGAGTACACAGGAATTTTTGCAAGTTCCATATACCTCCCTACAAGAGGTGGCACAGCTCTGCATGTACACACACTGGAGATGCTGCAACAGGAGTCTGTGCAGATTGCACCCAGCAGATGAGAAGCAGAAGGAAGCCAACGTGTCTGGGTGCATACATGCACATTTTTATCAGGGAGAAGCTGGGGACAGGAGAGAATCATGTTACACTATTTAGAAAACAAACAAAACAACAAAACAAACTCTCTACTGTAGTTTTATAGCCATGCAGAGCCATTGCATTTTGTAAATTCTACGGGAATCTGCACCTAAATGCACAAATAAGAAAGCATGAACCCTGTTATGAATATACAGAAAAATGTTAGACAAGCTGAGAAAGGATTAGGATAGAAATGGAATTAACATCCACTATTTTTGGCTTAGCTTCAGATAGCTTATGAGGGAATCTAGGCTGCTTTCACTAATTCCACCGAACTACTTTAAAGCAACAAACGTGTATTTTGCTATGACTTATGATTAAAGTTGCGACCTATTTAATGCACTAGTAAATTTAGCCTCAGAACATTAAATATCATGTATGTTATCTATTGAAATATTAATAACTATCGTTTCAAATACCTCAGCACTTTTATATTGCTTGCACACACTTCCAAGTACAATTTTGACAACAATTGGATATAAAATTGAGTAATTCATTGCTATCACAGCATGTGAAGAGGAAGCTTCCATGTGATATTCAGTACCACCTAAGCCAGTATGATTGTATTCAGCTCCTGTATCATGTATTTGGTAGTGACTGCTTTCTTTCCTGCACTGGCGGGTTTCATAAGAACGTTATAATAAACAAAGCATCCACAAAACAAATCCTGGATTTCATAACGAGGATACTAACATGGAATATTGGCACGTAGAAGAGAAAATGTTAATAACAAATCTAGCAATGCTTGTATTTCCTCCAATAAGCAAGGCTGATAGCAATACAGCAGCTGAATCTGCTAGCCCTGAAAAGTGGTGGGTTTTTTTATTATTATTTTGAGTGGTGCCTCATGCAAAAAAATCAGCACCATAACTTAACGAATTCTACCACACTGTGATCTTACATAAGTACTCTGTCATCATAAAAACTGAAGTTGTGATGTGGGATGAATTTTCTAACAAGTTAAACAACGCAGAATTTGCAATGAAGAGGAATTTTGCGTAAATTTTAATATTATACACTAGAAAAATATATACAATACCAAGGACTTATTTCTCTACGTTTTCAAAGGTTTATTTTTCATTTACATAACTCTGATGTCCAACCCACAAATCAACAAATCTGTAATAGTGGCTGCACTCTGTTTCCCCCTTCCTCATTTTGCTGGTCTTGCAGTGAGATTAAAAAAAAAAAAGTAGCTACTTTTTAGAAGCATCTGAAAAAAAATGATTCCTTTCTACATTCCATGCTTTCAAAACCAGCACCTGACTACAAAGTAAGTGATGACATCAGAGTCAGCCACAAAGATGAGAGCTTTAATTTGCACACGTGGAATTTGGAAGTTAGGGGGTTTGATCCATACCACAGGTTTAGGTTGACAGTCACTCATCTTAGGATACTCCATGGCGAGCACCAGCTCTTTCTGTCAGAACACATGGCTTTATGGGCTGTAAGGTCTTTGCCCAGAATTTGCTACTTCATTTGTACCCTTCTGGCCCTTGAGAACCTGCACAATAACCAGCTTCACATGAGAAACTGAACTTCTGCAGCAGCACCACGCTCCAAGACGTTTTTGTTTTGTAGCAAGAGAAGTGTGATTTTAATGAACTTACAAGATTTACTCGAACAGAAGGCTGCTATATCTAGTTCTTAACTCTGCTTAATCTTATTACGGACACCATGGTTATAAATTTGAAAAGGCAAGAACAGTTTAGGGTTAAAATAGCAGAAAGTTCATTACGGCCTAAGCAGCAGCTGTTAATTAGCCATAAACATTGCTAACACCTGTCTGGGACACAACACAACACAGAAATAGCAAAAAGAACTCAATTTCTGCCTAAGCATCCAAGTTACCTTTGGTAGCAGAAACAATGCTGCACATTCACACCGTGTTCTCTTCAGGGCTATTTTAAGCAATGATCTTCATTGTTTGTATCTACAACCAAATTCCTGCGATAGATGTTTACCATAAGAAAAATGACACGAAAAGAAATCTTTTCCAACAAGACATTGATTCTTTTAGAGCTATACTCGTTTTAAAGAGGCTTATACTACCAGAATGAAAAAATAAAGTATGGCCGTGTCTAATAAACCCGGTCCTGCCTGTTCACTTTGAGAATTACCAGTAACTTGCACAAGGTAAGAAAGGTCTGTTCTGCACTGACTCAAGACTGATCATAATATGAAGCCCTGAGGATCCCCCTTGTACTTCACTCACTTAAAGAAACGGTCCATTAACAGTAATCACTACTGTTGGGCAGGGGGTAGTAAAACCACTTGAAAGGCATTGGCAAAACAGGATTAGCCATGTTAAAAAGCTTAGAGATTCAAGTGTTTGGGATTTGTTCTTGTGGATTTGTTATTTTATTTTGGTGAAGTGTAAGGGCAAGGAAGAAACTGTGAAGTTGAAACTGTGGAAAAGATGGCTTTCCTCAAGGAACTTCAGGTCTTTCTCTAAATTGTGTAAGTAACACTAAATCAATGCAACCAGATTAATACAGAATCAGGTTGAAACCCCAATTACTTAACCTTTAATCCATCATCTTCCTTTTGGCTTTCCATTTTAGAATAGTATTGTATATTTACTATGCCTCGTTGGTTTAAATCTGCTATTGCCATC